TAATAAGCAGGCCAAGCGCTTTGCTTGGCAGTGAGCTTTTTGCTGAAGAATGCTATTGGCTGCCAACCTTGGCTAGACAGTTGCTGGAGGCATGCTCCTACGTGGGTACTGGAAGCGTCAGTGAATAGACCTAAGGTGGCGTTGCAGTCCGGGTGAAATAGAGAAGTAGCAGACGCTAGGCTATTCTTGCAGACCTCGAAAGCCTCCTTAAGTTGTGGAGTCCAGGGAAAGGGTTTTGCGCCTTTACCTTGAACGGCGGTGACTGCGTCGATCAAAGGTGCTTGATACTGTGCAGCTTTGGGAAGAAAACGGCGGTAAAAGTTTACCATACCCAGAAAACGTCGCATACCCTGCACAGTCTTGGGAGGAGGAAAGTCGCGAATGGCCTGGATTCGGTCCTCGGGTGGGCTAGTGCCTTCTGCATTTATGCGGTGCCCTAAAAACGTGACCTCAGAAACGCCTAAGACGCATTTGCTCGGGTTCACTACGACACCATATTCACTGAAACGCTGGAAAAGGATACGCAGGTGTTCTGCGTGTTCGGCAGGGTTCTTGGAGAAAACTAAAATGTCATCGACATAGGCAAAGCAAAAGTCAAAGCCCCGAACGACCTCATCAATAAAACGTTGGAATGTTTGGCCAGCGTTCCTTAAACCAAACGTCATAAATGGGAACTCGAAGAGGCCGAACGGAGTGATAATCGCCGTCTTTGAGATGTCGTCTGCAAAGACCGGAATCTGCTGATAAGCCTTTACTAAGTCAATCGTGCTGAAGACCTGGGCACCGGAAAGGCTGTTGCTGAAATCATTGATGTGCCGGACTGGATAGCGGTCAGGCACTGTCCGGGCATTAAGAGCGCGGTAATCGCCGCAAGGGCGCCAGGTGCTGTCCTTTTTCGTGGTCATGTGCAACGGAGATGACCAAGCACTCTTTGAAGGTGTAGCCGTACCACATCTCACCATATCTTCGAAAACTTTCCTGGCAGCAGCTAGCTTTTCTGGAGCCAAACGACGGGAACGACATGATACGGGAGGCCCTTCGGTGGTGTTAATGTGGTGTACCGTGTTATGCTTGACCGATCTGGGTAAACCCGGTGGACGCGTTATGTCAGGGAACTCAGCTAGCACTGAAGCAAAGCGTGAGTCGCCGGTGGACACAGCTTTAACGCTATCCTGTTTTATTTGGGCTACCCCAGCCGCGACAGACAGCTTGGTACTACCGTCTACAAGGCGCTTATGTCGGCAATCGGGCAGTAAATTATAATGACTTAGAAAGTCCGAGCCGATAATAGGGGAGCTGACGTCGGCGATTACGAAATCCCAACGAAAATCACGACGTAATCCAAGATTCAGGTTGAGGGTTATGTTGCCGTACGTCTTAATAGTAGTGCCGTTAGCGGCACTAAGGTCGTAATCTGCCGGAGAAAAGCGTCCTGTTAACAAACGACGCGGGAAACAACACAGATCCGAACCAGTGTCAATTAAGTAATTGTACTTTGACGACTGGTCAGTAACGAACAGGCGGCGTCCGGAGGGGTGGCAATCAGCTGCCGCCTCTACTGATTGCCTTGCTGGTTTCCCGAAACAGTCCAGGAACATGGCTGAATGCATTTTGCAGCGCGGGCAGCAAATCTGCGATGGTACCAGCAAAATTTGGCACCACTGGGGCCTGGAGTTCGACTCCTGCTACGTCCGCGGTGGTTAGACGGACCGCGACTACGGGATCTGTGATGTTGCTGCTGGGACATAAGTGCTGAAACCTGCTTGGTAAGTTGTTCTACACAGGTGGCCAAAGAGGATAGGGTGGGACTGGTGTTATCCAAGCTGTGAACCTGAGGTGAGCTCGGCAGGTCCATGATTCTGTCAGCGAGTTCTGAAATTTTGTCTAAAGTAAGATCAGCTTGAGCTGCCAGAATAGCCTGAACATTATTTGGTAACCGACGGAGAAAAAGTTGGCGAAGGAGTTTGTCGTCCTTGCTGGACATGCCAGCGAGTGAACGAAGGTGCCGAAGGAAGGAGGAGGGCTTACGGTCTCCAAGCTCTTCCTCGCTGAGAAGTCGGCGAACTCGTTCCTCCTCAGAGGTTGACAAGCGCTGAATGAGTTGTTCCTTCAGCGTGGTATATTTGTTTGTTGCAGGAGGGTTTAATATTATGTCTTCAACCTCTCCTATTAGTCGCTGATCAATTGTTGACAAGACATGATTATACTTGGTAGAGTCGGTAGTCACACCAGCAAGATTAAATTGGGCCTCCGCTTGGGCAAACCAAACTGCGGGGCGTTCTATCCAAAATGAAGGTAGCTTTATTGCCACCTTTTCCACTTGAGGAGGGGATGGGGGATTAGTAGTCATGATGCAGAATAAAATTAAATACAGGTGACTTATATACTAAACAAAATATTTACAATTCATGTATGTACCTGGGCTGAGCACTAGGATGTGTAAAATTAAAATTATGTTAAAACTCAGGAAATAGATGTTAACTGTACACCTATTGCTCTGCTTTAAGGTAAATAAGAACACAGGAAAGGTTATAAAACATAGTTAGATAAGATGTAACACTCAAGATAGAAAGTTGTTAAAACCTTACAATTTTGAGCTAAATGCTTTCAATATTAGCAGGTTACGGTAACAACAGTTATTGTGATGCAGTGTACGTAAAAATACAATGGTTGGTGACTAAGAATCAAAGATGCAAGTCGCGAAAAGTAAGCTAATAACACAGGTATTAAAATAGGTTAAAATGTTAGGAAAATCACCATGAAAGTTAATGGAAATTGATGTATAGGTAATTATTACACAGTCCCTATGCTAAAAATACAGTAAAACTTTATTAACAAGGCGATTTTGCAACGAAAAGGTCCTTATACTTGTTTAAAATAATAAAATTCTTTATACCTGCGTTTACCGGAACGTAACGCTTAGCGAAGTGTCAACGTCTCCTGTCAAATTGAACGTTACCGTCTGCTGTCAGATCGGGCGAGTCCAAGTGAAGTGCGCTGCTACATCGGACGAGTCCAAGTGAAGTGCAATTTGAGCAATCCTTGATGTATGACTCGTAAGCGTAAACTTCACTGTGGAATGTTCTCGCACTTCTCGCAAGTAAGAACAACGCCATGAAAACGCACTTTTATGATACCGTATGGCAATGACGAATGTTTCTATACGTGCATACACTTATTCTTCTACTTATAACTATATTTACACTGAACACAAAACACTATCACAATTGGTATACGAGCGAGGCGCGAAAGGTGACATTGGCTGCCAAACCGACGTTTTTATGATGCCGATGAGGCGCTTCGATGAATGCCGCCGCCGCTCGTTGATTGTAAATGACTCGTAGATGCAGGTTGACGACGAGGGTCTCGACCGCAGGCTGAGGGGAATCCCCGTCCTTACCGTTGCTCGCAATCGCGGCGCGTGGCGCGATGTTCGCGGTGCCGCCGACCGCCGCTTGTCTCGTTGTCGCTGATGCCCGGAGCTTTCGTGAGCCACATAGGCACGAAACGCTCGACGGGGCCGGGATCGCCAGAATGTCCGCTCGAATTCAGAGTGCGTGCCGTAGCGCGATGCAAATTTCTTCTCGAAGGCGGAAAGAAAAAATAATGGCGACCGACCTGTTCGCTCGTGAATTCACGCGGGGTCACCAATTTTGGTTTGTTGAAGTCCAAAAGAAAACACTTGATTTTTGTGTCTATTCCTTATAATATTAATTATTCACGATGGCGAATTTACAGACATCAACACAGTTCACTTATTAACTACGGTATCGGACGAGACATGTCTTTATGTTCCAAGCTATTTTGACCGTCTCTCTTAGAGAGCGTCCCGCGGTAGCGGAACTACGTCATCGAGTCGGAGAGTGATGTAACAGGCAATACAGGCGTAGTGATATGCAATACGCGTAGTGATGTGCAACGCCACAAGACAATACTATCAATGAGGTTTCGTTTTCAGCATTAATGGTGCAGACGAAACTAATTAGTCTCCTCTGCACCAATGATGGTGCAGGTCAATGGTGCATGCGATACTAGAGCGTTTGTTTTTGTAGCACAAGAAAACAAGGAAAAGTGTTTCATTTTAACACAATAAGCTACGTAACTGGAACTTTATAGAACTATTTGGGTATAATTTTCGCTTTGAATAGTTATTCCCACTAGTTCCTATGGAACTACTGGGAATAAACTCTACATACATGTTAAACATTCATAAATAAATACCTAACTTACACAACAATAACAATGTTAAGAAATAAATAACTAAGTACACACATTTTAAACAGGCACAGAACAAATAATGATAGTGCTCATCACACAATAACTAAGAAAATTCAAGTCAACAGTCATGTAATTCGGCTTCCAAAATATGGACTAAAATTATATTACAGAAATAAAAATCATTTATCTCATGAACCCTCGTAGTTATTTTTGTGCTTCATTAGTAATTCAATTATTTCTATTATAATAACTAATTGTAAATATTTTTACGTAGGTACACCATTGTACACATACCTACTGTATTTTTTTTAGTTGACCTTGAACTATTTACATAGAATTAAATCTTAGTCGTGTAAAAAGACATCTTGCTGTTTAGATAGACATAGCGACACCAACAGTCTAATAACCTAATACCTAACTATGAGAATCTTTTGTAAGTAATAATAGTAATTTGTAGAAGATTTACAGTAATACACATGACCAAAAATTAAATTACAGTTACACAGCTTACAATTAGAACGGTATTAAATGTAAATATTACTGAACGGAAAGTTCTAATTGAATACAAACAATATCTAAACGCGAAACACTGTCAAGTGACCCCGCCCACAACCAAATGTATTTATTTTCGAAAATTCTAACCTTAATGTAACTAAAACAAAACAACGAACGAACGAAAAAACACAAGAAAAACATGTTTATAAAAATGCTCTCGTTTTTATTTCACAGTTGTTGTTACGTGTTTTCATTCATATATTTTTTATTCTCATTATTCCATACAGTCCTTCCTTACGGCCTAGATGTCGGTTTGGTGGGCATTACTGCCTATTTTATGACTAAACTAAGAAGGCCGGAGCCTTCGAATGTGGTCAGCGTGTTCGGGCCGGAACCTGGGTCGAAAGAAAGCGAGGAGAATCCGGACAAAGTGGTCCGCTGCATAGCCCACAGAGGTGCGGGGTTAGACGCACCAGAAAACACTCTGGAGGCTTTCAAATACGTAAGTAAAGAGATAATTACACTTAAAGAGATTAGGAAGTAAATAAAATATTTGGAACACTACAAAGATAGAGGTAAAAAAGTATGCAAAAAACAAAAGCACTTGTATCTAGACTAGTCTTCATTTATGATAGTCTTCTAGAAAGTGGAATATCATTTAGGTTACTAGAACTAAGCATTTTAAAATATCATCATCATTAACAGCCTTTAATAGTCCACTGCTGGACATAGGCCTTCAAAATCCATTATCCTTCAAAAATAAGTTTTGGTTTACCAGGTATGTCATGGTAGCTAAAGGGAATGGAATAGGGATGGTTACACTCCATATTCTTAATCTGTCACCACATGGTAACATAATGCAGAACTGTTTCTTCTGTCTGTGTTCTTGTCTGCCTGAACAAAATAATATTGTAAACAGCCCCTCTGTTTACAATATTATTTTGTTCTAAATATATGCCATACTGTGATTTGGGTTAGATTCTAAAGTCAAACACATAAATACAAACACACAAACAAACATTTAAATTATGAACAAAAGTTTCTAAATCAAATAATGGGACACTTGCTACATCACTATAGCTATGGGTCCCTAAACATTTATAGGCATGTTTAGGTTATGCATAAGTATGGGGCACTGGCATCAATGGTTTAAACGGACCAAAAAATGTTTGTACCTATGCAAGTGGAGAATTATCAACACAAATAGTCTGTGGAACCCTGTTAACTTTTCCATGAAATTCAATACTAATTCCTGGTGTAAACCATAGCAGAATAACATAGAAGTGTCTTAAAAATTCACATCAAACTCAAATATTTATTTTCTCTTAAATCTCAAATATTTATCTTACACGCTAAATACAAACAAAACAAGAACTACTAGAAGAGCAGAGCTGATATTATTATGACCCTGATGACTTCAGTAAAAGGTCTTATGAGTCACAGAAAGTAAAAGATATTGCAAGGCCTAAAATAGACCAGTATAGGGTAGTTTTAAGCCTGTCCTTACATTGCTTTTTCCTCCAGCTTAGCAGTCAGGGTCACCAGACCAACGGACAGTCAAGTTCATGTAATATCTCAAAGAATATTATTACAATTGTTTTAAAGTGTTACTCCATTTTTTCTAGTGTGTGAGTCATGATTGCAATATGGTGGAGCTAGACGTACGGACATCTAAAGATGGAAAGCTGGTGCTCTTGCATGACCAAGGATTACAACGGTTGACTGGCAGCAGTATTAGCAATGTACACATTATGGATTGGGATTCAATAAAGAATATCGATGTTGGATTAACGCATCCTAATAGGTTGGTGTTTTCTGTTTATATTAAAAAAAATATATATAAATCTATACGTCTACTAGGTATATACTATGGGGTTCTTGTGTCAACTAGGGTGAACTTCGGTGCGTTTAGGCGATTCTGCCATCCATATTATAGAAATCAAATATAGCTTGACTGCACGGATGGCGTAGTGGTTTAAGCGGTCGCCACGCCGCTTCCTACTGCGGCGAGTGTTGTGGGTTCAAACCCCACATGGGACGACACTTTGTGTGATCCACAAATTGTTGTTCTGAGTCTGGGTGTTCTTTGTGTCCATTTCATGTATGTTTGTAAAGTCCCCTGCGACACAGGATTTATTCCTAATGCGGGTGTTGTCTTTTTAAAAAAAGAAAAAAAAAAGAGCTTACTTAGGACCCATAATATTTTTTGGCCATGGTGCTTCCCTCTTTAAAGGGTGTATGCCTATTTTACTTCATTTTGTCTCCAACTTTGCTAAGGAGGACTGTCGATTTATTATAATCTTTAATCTTCTTCTGATTAATTTTGTTATGGGTTCCAAGACATTATATTTTTTTCCTGGGACTTCCCGAGTGTTATATTTCGATGTGTTAATGGGTCACTGCTGTTGATCCTGGTGTACAGGAGTTAAAGTGGTGAGCGTGTGGGAGGGATTAGTCCCATAAAACAATATCTATATGTCTATATATAACGCAGAGCCTAAACCACTATGGCCACAAACTTGTTCTTTTTTCAAATGATGCTTTTTATGTTGTAAGCACACAATAAGAAAGGTTTAATGGAAATTTCACCCCTGAGGTGGTAAAATAATGTATGAACGGTTATGTGGAAGTTTGTCATCTTCAAAGTTAGAAAAACGTAATAAGATATAATCTTGCGAGCTTTTTTCAGAAAAATGGTTAGGGTCGGCTTTAAGTCTACTGCGATAAGGCTGAACAATCGCCTATTAAAACCCCAGTACTAGGTGATATCGAAGTTCTTTAGGCTAAGGTTTTAGGGTTACAACTACCCGCAACGAGTGGCAACGATTTCCGTATGGCCACCAGGACCGACGGCTTAATGAACTCTTCGACGCATGAGGAATACTTAGTTACATATGGCTACTAATAAAGTGTATAGAATACCCAGTTTCTGTACAAGTCAACATTAAGTTTCAAAGTGACAGGCCTGTTGGTCTAGTGATTAGTGACCCTGAAAGCTAAACCGGAGGTCGTGGGTTCGTTTCCCACCCAGGAAAAATATTGTGTGATGAGCGCAATAAACAAAAATCCATATTTAGATTATAAATGTGAAAGTGGGTTTGTTTGTTACGCTTTCACGCCTAAACCACTAAAATGATTTTAAAAATTCTTTCACCGATGCTACATTATCAGCGTGTAACATAGGCTACTTTTTACCGCGATAACCGACATACACGCGGGCGGAGCCTCGGGCAAAAGCTTAAAGCTAGATAAAAGCAGTGTATAGTGGAAAGTATATGCTACTACGGTTAGACATTACCAATGCATTTGACACGAGTTACAGGTGTCTATGGGTGGCATATGTTACTTTCCATCAGGTGAGCCGTCTGCTCGTTTGCCGCCTGTACACTATAAAAAAACCATCATCATCACCATCCACAGCCTTTAGTAGTCCACTGTTGGACATGGCTTCTCCTTAGAAAGGAGATTTTGGCCCACTATACCACGCTGGCCAGACGGGTGGGTTTAGGGTTTTGTGTTTGCTCTCTTAGTCGGCTCTTACGACATCCACGGGATGAACAGGGGTTTGACACTCCATATTCTCAATCCGTCACAACACAGTCTCACCACTCTGTCTGTAAGATATGTTTATTTCCAATCGGTTATTTCTAGTTGAAATAAGCCTAACTATAATGCCTCAAAGATTGGTAATGTTTGTTAGTTCCTTAGCCTTAGGTGCTGGTTTTCTATTGTGAGGCAAAGTACTAGTAAACTATAGAAAGCTTCAAGTTTATTGCTGGTCTAGTAGTCAACGATCCTGACTGCTAAGCCGGAGGTTGTGGTTTTGATTCCCACCCAGGATAAATAATTTTGTGATGAATATGACCATTAGTTCTGTGTCTAGGTGTAATATTGATTTACAATCTGTATCTGTTTAGAGATGTGTATGTTTATCAGCAGTCTGGTTACTGTAGCACAGGCTCTGCCTAGTTTAGACGGCCGTGTGCGAGATGTGTCAAGTTTGTATTATTGATGTAAAAAAGTACTCCTTAAGATGAATCAATCGAGCCCAAACTCGATATGTTCAGAAGTTCCTATCGCCACCTTCTGGCCCCATCATCAGAACAGTTCCATATTATTGTATTTCCACTGAAGATATATATGTAACCCAAATTTAGGGTCCAATTGGACATCAGGAAGTGGTTCTAATTTATCTTGCATACATTCATTCAAACATTGCAAGTTAAATAAAAGATTCTGACAATATTCTCTATACTACAATTTATTGTCTATATATTTTTAAATCAATCCATTCTTGGGCAGTATTCTGATGCCGTTTTTCTCTAATCCCCAGATCAGTGTGGAAAGAAACCATAAATACTCCAGATATATTTTCCCATTACAGGTAAACAAAATTGATAAATTTAATTGGCTCTATTATATTCGAAATTTTATTTTCTTTCTTTTTCCAATTCAAATTAGGGGACATCCATCCTCCTTATCACAGCCGGTCACATTTGTGAGACAACCCCTTCCTAGTGTGACATTACAAATGTTGCAATTTTCCATCTAGTGATTGTCTACTCACTATTATACTTGGAGGTGCGAGAATAATTATTATACTTCAACCCCAGACATTGTACACTGAAGAATATTGCATTTAAGAATTAAAAGCTAGCGTTGTAAAAAATACAAATTAGCGGCTTTAGAGCTCTGAGGGGGTTCAAGTGGAAAGAATCAAATTATTCAAGGCAGGCTTGCAGGTAGACCATAACAGAAATCAGTAGTCACACACTAATTATTTTCTAATTTTCTAACTAGAAACAATTTGCCAACCGTTCATTGCTTATTTTACCCCCGCAGTTGTGAAAGTTTCAAAAAAATCTTTTTTAGTGTGTGCTTACAACATAAAAAGTATGAGCGGCTAAAACTTCAAGTTTGTAGCTCAGCGTTGATTAATCAGTCAGACAGTCCCCTCCGGCCATATTGGAAACGAATTGCCATAACAGAATGATTTCTCTTTTATCGAAACCTGGTTGAAAAATAATTCGGTTTTCGAAACTGGTTACCAAAACAGAATTTTGGATCTTTTTTTGAAACTTTTCCAATATATCTACAAACTCCTTGATTAGAAAGAATTTCCTAGCTGTAAGTAGCGAGGGAATTCCAGCCACACGACCTTTTCTTGTAGAAATGAATTCTGTTACGGTACTCATTTTAATACGATTTTAGAAAGTAAGCACTGCTCGAACTAAATATTAAAAAATAAATTCATTTAAGATTAAATAATCATCACTTGGCATCTATCATTACTGATAGTGGGATGACTGACAATGAGAAATTGTAAATAAGAAACGGTCGCCAGGAAATTATTTCTAATTAAGGATTGTAGGTTCGAAGAGTTTTGAAAGAAGATCTAACCTTCTGTGTTTGTAACCAGTATAAGATAAAATATAAATAATTCTGTTTTGGAAACTTGTTTCCAATAGGGAATATGCACGTGACACCAAAATGGACAAAATATTTTTATTTGTAATTTGTATTGCTAAAAAAGATACCCATACAATTATTTTTGAAATTTATTATAATTTAATAGTGAAATTTAATCATCAAAAATTGGCTTTTTTAAGATTCCCTCGCAAATTTCTAAAACGCAACGCTATTGGTTGAATAAAACGTGACGTCAACCTACACTGTCAAGAGTGTCAACAAGTTGTGTGTATTTGTAATATTTGGTTTCTGGTGATTATTTGTTTCATTTTAAGTTAATAACTAATACGTTTTCAGTGTTAAATTATTAAATTCCCGTTTAGAAAGACAACACACTGACTGAATATACTTTGTCAGGTGCAGTTTTGATATTATTTGGGCACAAAGGAACGGCACAATATTTATAATAAGTTTTTATTGGATTTCCATGGTAATGAGTTAATTTTTATCACTCACTTTTTTAACTTTCACAAACTTTTTGAACTTCACTCCGTTGTTGACATCGAATTCGTCTGAAAGTGTAATCTGAAGTCACAAAAAAAGCGCGCCAAAATGGACGTGTTCAAATTGCCCCAAAATGATAGTGATTTTAATAAATTTTTATTTGCTTAACGGTTTATATTTCGGATGTGTTATATTTATTTTTGGTAATGTAATAACTAGTAGAATCGTTTAAAAAAAAAAAAATACATGCATATTTCCTATTATTAGTTTCCAATATGGCCGAAAGTACTCAGTCAGGACAAGTAAATATATATATAGACTAGATACGCCAATCCCAAATAAAATTTGGCCACAAGGTCAGATACACCATTTACTTTACTACAAGAATACCTGTTATGACATTTGTGAGATCGACAGTAGTTCGGAACTGCACTTTGAACAAATGTTTTTTTACGATGACCCTTTGTTTCCGTTTTCTTTCTGCTGTCAGTTGAATTGTAAGAGACATTGGATGTTTCAGGGCCCAGTTTAAGGAGGTGCACCTGTGTTTGTTGGACGACGCGCTGGACTATTTGCTGCAGAACAAAGTGAAAGTCATCATCGACGTGAAAGGCGATAATCAGCAGGTACTTTGACTTAAAATTGATAATTTTTCGGTATGTCGTGTTAACAAACCAGTAGTGTTTAAAAAAAAGTGTAATTTTCTACTTTACTGGTTACTCGTCTTCACAAGTATTATTTGCCAGTCTGTCTGTCCGATTAAGCTTCCTTCCTCCCCCCCCCCCCCCCCTAATGGGGAGCTCCATCTTGAGCCTTCCCTTTGTACATCACAGATATACATCCCACTTGTTTTTGCCCGTGGCTCCGCCCGCGTATATGTCGGTTATCGCAGTTAACAATGCAGCATATGCCCTTTATCATGCCCTTTATCAAGAATCAAACTATCTTCATACCAAATTTTATCTGAATCGGTTAACCGGTTATTGATCTCCCATACAAACTTCCACCCCTCTTTTCACGGCTTTAAAGGATTATTTCTCGGATATAAACTATCCCATGTCCCTTTTCCGGGACTCAAACTTCATCTAAATCAGTTTAGCCGTTTAACCGTTAAGAGTAACAGACAGACACATACCCTTTCGCATTTATAATATATAATATAATAATAATATACCTCACACATTTCACACACGGCTGTCTGATCCCAAACTAGGCAGAGCCTGTGCTATGTTTACCAGACTGCTGATAAACTAAGTATGTTTATCAGCAGTCTAGTAGTATATTTTTAAATATAGATAAATTACAACCAGACACAGAACAAATGATCACGCTCATCACACAATATTTGTCCTGGGTGGGAATCGAACCCACGACCTCCGGCTTAGCAGTCAGGGCCACTAACCACTCGACCAACAGGCCCGTCATATATATATAACTCACACACCTCACACACGGCTGTCTGATCCCAAACTAGGCAGAACCTGTACTATGGTAACCAGAAATATACTTATACATTTTTAAATACAAACATATTATAGATAAATTACACACATATTATTATGGATGTGTCAGTCTGTCCACCAAGTACAAATTATACACCATTCGTTCACCCACCCATCTATACATTAACTCTATTTACCTTCCTAATTGTGAAGTTCTCAGTAATTATCAACAGCCTTTACTATTCCACTGCTGGACATAGGCCTCTCCTTAGAAAGGAGGTTTTGGCCTACTACACCATGCTGGCCAGATGGGTATGTATAGGGTTTGTGTCAAGTTTTCCTTCTCTCTGCAGTGCAGTTCTCCTGCGTAGTTTGCACCCTTAGTCAGCTCTTACGACACCCACGAGCTGAATAGGGGTAGTGACACTCTGTATTCTTAATCCGAACGAATTATAGTTTCCTCAGAGTGCGTTAGACATACTTATAAACGTGTAAATACTTTGTTTACAGGTCATTAACGGTATCCTGCAGGCGTTCGCCTCCCGTCCTGACCTGTACAAGTCTGCGGCTGTGACGTGTTTCAACCCCTTCGTATTATACCAGGTACAATAATAACACAAGGTATAAAATATCCACAAGTCTAATGGGGCGGAGCAGACGGGTCACCGGATTATAAATGACTATCGTTGCCAGTTGCCAATGGAAACATGTTGACCCCCCCCTCCCCCCCCCCCCCCCCCCCCGGCAGGAAAAGTGAAGAAAGCATAATACCGGCTTCCTGTTGGGACTTAATGTTACTCCAGTCAAGCTGGGCCATTTGAGCCGAAGCATGACTCCCAACGCTAAAAAATATATAAATTGTAAGTTTTAGATCAATTAACTAAGATGTCAATGATTCCAGATACGGAAGCGTGATCCGGATATTGTTGGAGCTCTGAGCTACCGCCCCTACTGCTTCAGCTCAATGGACTTCGACGCAGAACAGGGCGCTTACAATCCTAGGTAAGTCTTAAGAGCTTAGGTTCGTATCCTAGGCAATTAAGTGTCTAAGTGATCTCCGAGGAAGGTTTAAACATTATCAAGCTTTTTAACTGCAATTACACCAATGGCAAACTGGAATACATGTTCTGTGCCAATGTGTATATAACCGTTCTTAAATGACTATCCATAACAGTCATACCTAATTGATATTATGATTAAAGTTTATTTATGAGCCAACGGTGAAGGCCATAACAAAATTGTGAACGGAAATGTGCCGATTTTGGCCTTACCATTTGTAAAGCCGTTTTGTATTCTTTTTGACAAAATAAACTCCGAATATATTTCGACACAAGCATATGTTAAAACAAATGTTTATGACGTCATACTATCCTATTTGTGTCCATAACATACGTAACACGAATTTCATGGGTTTTTGACCCCCATCCTCGTCCTTATCACAGCTGGTCACATTGTGTGACGTCACATATTTTGCAATTTTACATCTAGTTTAATGATCAAATTAAAACAGCAGTTCCGAAGATAGTTTTATTGAAATTTAAGTTCTTTTTTAATCAATCGTACGTCCGATCAAACATTTGAAAGAATCATTACTGTTACATTAGAAATGTGACGTCACAAACACAAACCGTTGTCACACGTGTGACGTAATAGATGTATGGCCCCTGACATGGAAGGTGTGTCGGTAGATATGGGGACAACCTGGTGGTGCACTCGGCGCTGCGCGCGGTGGACGCGCTGCACGCGCTCGTGTGGCGCTGGTGCGCGCGCTGGTGCTCCGTCAGCGCCGTGCTGCTGCACAAGGACATCGTCAGCCCGTACGTATAGCCGCCTCTACGGCCCTCCGACTTATGGGCCCTCCTCGGGGGTCGTGAGAGTCGAACGAGGAAGCAAACTACAGTACTGCAAAAAGACAAGAAATACTTGCCACCGACCCTTTACCGACCCGTCTGGTCTGCGTGGTATTGTAGGCCAAAACCTCCTTTCTAAGCGGAGGCCTATGTCTAGCTGTGGACTGCTAAAAGCCGTTGATGATCGATGCTAATGATAAACTGGGCTGGATATATGGTCGGCCAAATCACGAAGGGGCCAAGTCTTTATTCTGGCCGTAGCATAATATTGGTCGTAAGAATCTTTATTGCGCGATATAACACTTCGACTTTTTCGTATTATTTCTTCTGGTTTCCACTAGATGGCGCCACATACTGTGAACCAAACTATTAGTCGTAATTCATCTTCATTACTTGCACTGGTGTTGTCCTAAGTAATATACTCCCTTAGTCCCCTGTTACGACACCCACGAGATGAATAGGGGTGGTGGCACTCCGTATTCTTAATCCGTCCCCACACGGACCTTATATAGATAGACTGGATGGCGTAATGGTTTGTGTAACAGACTGCTATTCCAAAGGTCGCTGGTTCGATTCCCACTCAAGTCAAACATTTGTGTGCATGAACATTTAATGTTTGATTTGGTATGGATGTTTCGATGTATAATATGTATGTATTTATGAAAAAAAGTATATATATTATGTATGTATATATATAAAATCAGTTTTCTAGTACCCATAGTACAAGCTCTGCTTAGTTTGGGACTAGACGGCGTTGTGTGAATGTGGTAAAATATTATTATTATTTATTAATGTGAATGTTATTCTAGAAATGAAATATTCTACTGGCGTTCTTTGGGTGTGCGATGTGCGGGCTGGTGCGTGAACAGGCCGCTGGAGAAATTGTACTGGCGCGGCGTGCTCAAGGCGCCTTATCTTGCGAACACTCTGCTCGGAGAACCCGAAGTGAGTATACCTACTCCTATTTGTTTGGCAAATAATTTGAAGTGTAAAGGTTACGAGCGTCGGTTTTGTCACTGATTTTATCTAGTAAGTTTTCGACGTTAACGTAAGTCAGTTTCACTTACCTTAGTTGGTGGGGTTTAATCTGTACTATAGTTCATTCGTGTTAAGAAAATAGTGACGCATAGATCAAGGCCCGCCTCCATTGTGGTTCACGAAATTTTCGTTTCTTACGAATACTAACCTTGTTGGTCAGAGGGCGGGACTTCGATGCGTCACTATTTTCTTAACGCGAATGAACTGTAACAATGTGTAAAACTAATTATTTTCATTTCTACATAAAACTTACTAAGTAAAATTGTTTTTAAGTTATTAATATGTTGAGATGAATTGTAATACTACAAATAAGCAATTTTATTATATTGGTGTGTGAATAACACTCGCGAAGCGTTCTTGATACATCATTGTTCTTTGCATGTATGTGTAAAAAAATAGCGTCCAACTATTGGCTGCTATTTTTATTTTTTTGACGCTTTCACACTTACACTTTAGATCTAAACATATCAATAATATAAGCATTCCTTATGTGATAAGGGGTTTGAAATAAATAACAAAAACAATTCCAGGTAGAGAAGACTCGCGACAAAGACACCGACTACGACCGCGCTGGACCTCTTATTGATAAACTGCTTGAACCGGAACGTAGAATGTCTTCCGGACAAAATTAAACTTAGTTAACTTATTTTTTAAACGTGTTGTACAAAAATTATTCAATTCCAACTACTAAAACAAATATCTATTTCTAATTTTTATGCATAATGTCTTTCTTCTCGCAATCTGTGCGAGTGTCTTCGTAACAAGAAACGGAAGTATGTAACAGGAAGTAAGAAAAGCGCGCGCTATTTGATTTGACCAATGAGCGCGGTGCTAGAGTTATCCGTCAGATGGTTGAGGGGTCGTGGCTAAGTGGTAACCTAGTAAGTTAACATATTGCAAAGTTAAGCAATCCTAGCTAGATCAGTCTATGGATGGGTGACCATTTTTAACACATTGAGACTCCTCGGAGAGCACGTTAAGCCGTCGGTCCCAGTTGCCATACTAACATCTGTATCAATCGTTACGGATAGTTGGAGTCCAAAAAACAGCCCAATCTAGTTTGGTATAGATAGTTCAACTCAGTTGTGCGCGCGCAGTGACGCAGCAGTCGGACGACGACGGCCACACGAATGAAAGTTGTATATTTACAAACCCACGCACACATAGGGCCGCGCGCACAACTGAGTTGAACTATCTATAAAAGGTTCTGAGGAAGAAGTTTTCTGTTAGATCATAGGTGAGATTTCAGATGTTATACATCATATGCGCTACTGTAAGGCTCGCTTTTTCTTACTAAACCCATTTTTTAAAACAATTATTCGAATTCATTTATTATCAAAACTAAATGTGTCTTGAATAGTTTCTGCACAACACGGTTCGACTTTAGTTTGTAAAACAAAATTTTCAATCGTCAATATAACCAAATAGCCACATACAATATTGATATGTGAGTTTATTTTGTAGCTTAGTATTATTGGAGGTAGTATTATGGGGCAGTAACTCATACGGGAGTGAAACTTAGTGTCCAGATGAAAGCAGGAAATACCAGATCCAGAATCTGTCAGAGTCTTGGCAAAGATAATTCTAAAACCTATATGAACTTAGCATTTGTGAGTTCGAAAATTGTCTTTTGTCTATTATAAAAGTTGATAAAACGGTAACTGATGAAAAATTCATTTAAAATTAGATATAATGAATCCAGATATAGCTGCCAGCTAGTTAGCTTGCTAATAATATGTGAAAAGAATTATTGAATGTCATTTTAGGCAAATATTGCACAACGAATACAGCTTTAATGTGATATTCATTTTTATAACATATTTTTTTGTCCATTTAGCTTTCTAACATGATGGACCGTGGTATTAATAAGACATACCTACCAAAGATGTTTCTTTTTCGTTGGGATAGTTTTTTCTGACCAATAATTAACGATATCAGTACTATTTACTGTCTTCGTTTTCAGCGTTTCCCCTCATGCCTGTGTATATAATAATTTATAACAGTTTCTGATTACTTCTCTCCCTCTCGCTCTCTCTCTCAGTAGAGACTGTCCTCCTAATCTCTACTTTGAAAATGACTACAAAGCTACCCTCAATTATTTTTTTCATCTTGTGTTTAGACGATTGAAAATTTGACCTGACGATGAAAATGTGGGTTGTTTACTTAAGGTAAAGGACCTGACCTGAGTGTGAGTTTACTTCACATCAACTCGCCCTCAACGTTAAGCGCGTTCGGTTTTGCGATTGGTGAAGATTGAGCCAATCGCAACGCGGTCACCGTGACGATCGAGTAGATTTGAAATAAACTTACCTCGCCCTCTGAACAAAGAAATGACACGTGACGTCGTTTTGATTGCTGCTAATAGACCACTAGTGTAATTTTGATATTTATAAATAACTAACTGTACCCTGCCACGATTCGCTGTAGCTCAAAAAACAGATAAAAACAATAAAGCGGTTTGTATATCGTGTCAAAATTTGAGCTCATTTTGTGTAGAATTTTGATATTTTGAAGCGTACAATAACATTTTTATATATTTATAGAAATGTTATGTAATAATTAATCTCTACCTAAACAAAATAATCAAATACAGATAAAGTTGGCCGGTCTCTCTGTTTTTTTCTTTTGCATGCATTTTTTTTTTGCATAAAAGATATGTTTTTAAAATTTGAAAAAAATGCACGAGTTGGAACAAATAAAAAATTAACAACTGCAAATAAAAAATTAACAAATAAAAAATTAACACTGCTTTATAACAAATTATTTAAATAGATAAAAAATCTTATATTGATTTCGTATAGGAAAAGTTTAATAATTCATTAAGGTATAGTACTATCTTTATAGAATTATGCGAATCCGTAAAATTAGTTTAACTTTTATTTTACCTAAAAATATCATATTCCTTTTCCTATAAATAATTAAAAATAAAAGATTTTTACCGCAAGAAAAGAAATTGTTACAATTTATATTTAATTTAAATGAAGTGCCGTGAATATAGTTAACAGTATTATATTAAAAGTTTAAAAGTAGGTTTAATTTTGTCAACCCCCAGACAAGTGACTATTATCCAAATACTGAAAATAATAAAGTGTGTCTATGCAGCCAAAATGACGTCACTAAAAATACGTACAAATAATACCAAATGATTGCTAGCTTTTACTTAGTAATGTAAATTGCGTCCAAACAAGTATTTTTACTTTTTATTTATTCATTTATTTACAGAAAAAAATGCAAAAAGGCGCTTACTTTTAAACAGTTGTTAATATGTTTTTTTTAATTTATAATCTATATCAGAGTAAGTTTTTATGGAAAATTACGTATGAGTATTTATATGCGTTTCTAGTCTATGCCGCTGTTGAGATATTATTTACAGGTGGTGAACAAGAGATGTATTTATTATTATAATGCAATAATACAATTAGTCACAAACGCTTAGTATTTAGATCTTATTCTGCATTTAAACTATGTGATTTTTTTTGTTTTGTCTATGCTACTAGTCTATGGTACAATTTTTTTAAAAATACGACCGTTTAGGTATCTATCTATTAGTGACCTAACCCAAATTGTTACAATTCAGTATTTTTATTTTATTTTAGACTATTTCTAAATTTAGGAATTTAATAGAAAACGATATCGCCCCCTGCTTTGACTTATTCTTCTTTATTTTAAATAAATATTTTACTATTTACAAGCAAAGGGACACACTTTGAGTTTTAAGCTAAAAGTACATTTTAATCTCGTTTAAAAATAAATTAAAAGAAGCTTATTATGACCAGATATTTTTAAAGGCACCATAAAAAAGTCGGTTCTGAATTCGGTTGCATTTTTAATGTTTGCTACCTTTTGGTCCCATTCAAATTTAAAGAAAAAAAGACCATCCCTAAGGGTCGAAAAGTTATTTCATTTCATTGTAGGTGTGCATTGAAGTTGATGATACTTTTTTTAAAGATAATTATTTATAATTTACACCCAAACTCGTCTAGTCCAATCCATTCCCTCACTAATAGTATCCATTCAAATGTTTGGATAAAAAGCACGAATTTTCTTCTTCCTAGATCACGGAGAAGCAAGATGAAATAGAAGGCCCACATCGTGTCAAAGAATTGGAGTAGATACCGTCCAATGCCTCGAAGTAAGCAAGGCGAGGCGTAAATTGCCTCGAGTTTAGCAACCGAGGCAAGCGCCTTTAATGTAACTCTCTGTCTCACATATGTAAGAGTCATTTGTGTTTGGCCTGTTGCGAGGGTGGGATAAGGTAAATTTACTGTAGTAAACATAGTATTACAAGTAATAATGTAGTATTCTCTGTAATAATGTAATTTCATTTCGTGTGATCATAACCTAACTTGGTTATGGTCGTAGATGTTTTGTAGTCTTTGGTATCGTTTGTAGTTTTTGGTAATCAATAGGTTCTATTGAATAAAATATGTTACTTTAATTTATACTTGGGATCAAAACCATATGGGACATCGAAACTTTTTTCGCAGCTTTTTTTTGAGGGGCCGTTTCTTGCTTACTCTTGCTTAATTCGAGGCAGAAATAGGATTTATTACTTTACTATTTCAAATGTACATAGCTTTTATTTGTTGTAACAAATTATATATATTTAATACATTTAATTATTAGGAAGTGTTCGAAGTTAGGGTAATCATCCTTTTTGTTAAATATTATTTATTTTGTGAGGTGGCTAAAATTGTGAGTCTGTTTTTTGCTAAAACATTTTTATTAAGAGACTAAAATATACTATTTTTGCAATATACACGAATTATTTATTGAGTAGTGCATATACCCTGGACGATAAATTAAAAATTGAAACTTTAATTTTTGTTATAGCAACATATTTTGAAATGTCAAACAAAGAGTAAGCGCCTTTTAAAATTAGAATTTAATTTGTACTTGCCGTCATAGAGTTAATATAATTTATTTATTGGTAATAACGCCATCTGACGGTGAATAATATCAAGAACTATTTTGTTTTATTTTTTATTTACTAAGAATGTAAAAATATAATTGTTCTATTGTGTAGTGCAAATTGGAGCTTATGAACTTTTGCTTCAGGTAATGTCAATTTTGTTGTCGATTACAATTTTTTTTTATTTTTAATAATTATATTAGAAATTTGAAAAACTTTTTGTGTGTTTTGAGTACTCGTCATTTTATTTACAAATGGTATAGTAACTTGTACACTTAAAAATATATACCTATACTTAAATCATCAAAATTATAATAATTAAAGAACTGTACTAAACTGTGGTCTGCATGAAAAGACTGGGATTCTGAATGTAATTAGCCTGTGACCTGCGGCCTTCGCTTAAAAGTAAGTCTGTATAGTTTTAATATTCGAAATGATAATTAATCTGTATCAAAACCGTGGAAGTGTTTGGCACAACTAGCCCGGCTCTACCAAGGAGATACCACGGCCTCACAGAAACCTGACGATATGCAGTTCTTTCCCTGTCTTCCTCTAACTCTTGGTAACCCCTAATTTCCCTTAACCTAAAACAGATTGTTAGGTTTAGCATCAAGATTATTTAGAAATTGCTGACGACTTTGGTAGTTTCATGTAGATCATCATCATCGTCAACAACGGCTGTTGTTAATTAGTCCACCGCTGGACATGACCTCTCCTTAGAAAGGAGGTTTTGGTCTACCATACTATGCTGGCCAGACGGGTTGGTATTGGGTTTGTGTCAAGTTTTCCTTCTCTTTGCAGAGCTGTTATTCTACGTAGTTTGTTTGGATGTTCATGGAGATCCTGTGAATTAATTTAAACATTGCTCTGAAATAGTAAAATTTTTGTCTATGAAATGTACTCTATGCCCTTTCTTGTACTGTTGACAACGTGTTTACAAAATTAGATGGCAATTGTTTGAATTAAAGAGCGCAAAACTGAAAACGAAGCCAAACTTTCGGCATATGTTCGAGTTTCGACCGAAACTCAAACTATCATTTCAAAATGTCGACTATACTGAAATATAGTCTAAAAACACTGTAATAAGCTAGACACACGGCAACAATTCTAAATGAGAGCAAATTTAATTTAGGTAGGTACATAGGCTAGGTACTAGGTGCTAGGTACTAAATACTAGAAGCTTTATCTCTTGTTTCTTTTATCTAATCATGTGCTTTAAGCAAGCCAGATGAATCATATTAGGTATGTAATAAACATGAACCTAAATTTGCCAAATTCATGTTTCGATCTTCACAAATTCATTTTTTCTTGTATTTAAATGATAATTGCGTTTTTATTTCCAAGAAAACTTAGCTAAAATAGTATCATCATCAAGTAAGTAAGTAAGACTGACCTGTTGTGGCTAGTGATAAGGCTAGTGGCTAAGCCAGAGGTCGTGGGTTCGAGTCCTACACAGAACAAATAATTGTTTGTTGAGTATGATCATTTATTCTGTGTTGGTATGTACTTTGTCAATATGTATGTTTTTAGAAATATATAAGTATATTTATCAACAATCAGGTTGCCATAATACAGGCTCTGCCTGGTTTGGGGCCAGACCGCAGTGTGTGAGATATGTGTAAAAAAAAAACATTCTGGTTGGCGTATACAATACGTCGACGTATTGCATACGCCAACCAGAATAGTGGTTTTTTTTTCACTATCATAAATTGCAGTAGTCATGGCCCTATATTTTTGAATAGACTTCCTAAGAAGTAATATTAAAATTTATAAAATGATATTTTAGATTACTGCAATTTAAGAAAACATCTTTTTTTTTTAGTTCTACAATTCTCAGGGCCTCGATTCTCCTATTTTATGTTCATGCCAAGCCACTGTCATACCACTGACACGCTATTGAGATGCCATCGAGTGGCCACCAAAAACTTTACAAACCTTTGCAATCTCGAATGTTCCACACCACAGCGCAGCGTGACCGTACTGAAGTGCAATAGAGAATGAAGATGTATGACAATTGTTCAGGCCATTACGCTACTTGTTAGTAGTGCAGAAGAGAAAAAATCCTAACGATACTACTGGTAGTGTAATTTGGTAGTGCGATGGGTCAGAAGGGGAAATTTGTACTCGTAGATATTCCTACCGAAGGCTGTCGAACATATAGAACAACCCTCTAAATAGGAAGGCGGCCTGACTGCAATAAGACGCGATCGGGACGCCACGCCGCGATTGAGAAGGGGAAGTGTTTTCCCCTGGGATTTAAAAAGTCGTAAATCCTCAAATGTTTAATTTTTACTTTTTGCTGAGAAGTAATAAAGTTCAAAATTGTATGTTTCTTTCTGGCCTTTTATTTACCTACCTACCTGTTCATATCGGAAGCTAGTTTTTACTAGTTTCTTGAAAACTTTCTATGCTTAACGGCTTTTTAGCTGAAGGACTCAGCATTAGTATATAATATTTATTTTATTATGTAAATGTATTAAAATTAAAATCGTCTTGATTTTAAGTCACACAGTTTGGAACGTCCGTATTATGATAGTTCTTACCTAAGACACCTTCGTATATCAAAGTATAGAAACTTCGTGGCGCTGTGATGGTTTGTATACATAGCTACAAATCTTATTTGCGGGGCTATAATATTTTATACACACATACCTACATACATAAGTAAGCGTATTAGTGCGATGGGTCAGAAGGATGTATGACCGTTCCTTTATTACCTATTACACTATTGGTAGTGTAATTTGGTAGTGGGATGGCTCAGAAGGGTAAAAAATAATAAAACGGGCAGAGGCAGAGCACCAACCCGATGGATAAGGACGATAAAGGAGTAGCCAAGGCGTTAGGACCTTCCATAATAATAGGGGAGCCCTAGAAGGGATTTCAGGATTTGTTCGAGCGTGTCAGATTAAGATAGGATCAATACCTCTTACACCCAGTTGAGTACCTCCGCCATACATGAGCCCTACATATAGGGGGGATCGGCTAGGGCAGCTCATCGGATTAGTTAAAAAAAAAAATTGGTGGCCAGAAATACTCAAGGGTGTAAGATTAGGGTAAGTTGAGTCAACTACAAACACATTAGTGTGTATTTAAAAAAATCTGACGATTTGAGCGTGACATGAAGCAATGGGAGGGTCACAAAGTTCCAAAAAAACCCATGATCTTGTAAAAAAAAATATTTTGAAGCAAACAATGCAAGAAATTGTGCCTTTATTTGTCACATTATATAAAAAAAGACGTGTGGCACTCGGGGACTGCCGCGGTAAAGCTATTGCATAGCATTTTGTATCAACTTATGCAATTATAATTATTTATTTATTTTATTTGTGCAGTGTTTCTTTTTCTTTGATATTAATTCAAGTTACACTTTTTGAGCGTGGTGACCGATAAGAAAACAGTTTTTTTTCTTTTATTAAATAAAAATATTGAAGCATATATTACAATTTGTTTTTAAATAAATAAATAAAAAATATTATTATTAAATCAAATTACATATCCATGTAAGATTTTTCTGCATTATGTTGACGAAATTTCCTTTGACGTTCAGCATTTGATTTTGGTACTGTTTTTTGTTTTGTTTTTAGCGTGAGGTTTTTTTTCGTTACGGAATTTCTGGATTCGGTCCCCGCGCTCAAGGCCCTCGATAGAAGCTATGCAATAGCTTAAAAAAAAAACGAAAAATATATTTTTATCCGACAGATTCAAAATTATCGTCAGCTGAACCGATTATTCGAATTTGCAGTTTACATTTTCGATAATTCGCTACGAGCTTGGGTCACTTTAAAATCGTCAGACCTTTCAATAGGAGCATTTTTGCCGTCCATATAACATGTCCCCAAAATATGATGTGCCCAAATAAAACCCGTAGAAGCATTTCCCACCTCTGTAAGTCGATACATGATATATAACTTATATTCATTCTATTACCTAATTTTCAAATGCAATAAGACCCCATGACACTCGAGTAAATCTACATTTAGCATCATGGGCTCCCCTACTCTAGGTGGGTGTAGTTCGTACTATTACGATCGTAGTCCTAAGCCGACTACACAAAAATCAGCTCCTCCCCGAGTTAAAAGCTGGATTCACCCATGATACTGCCTTGAAACTTCACAATCAGATGTAATGAATGAAACTGATGAAGCTAATAATTCATTCCAGGTGTAAACCATGATGATTAGTATGATATTCAGTTATAGACCACAGAGATGGCATGTAGAATGTTTGCCAGTAATATTCGTTTTAAATGTTAATATTTCTGTAACTCGTGTTGCAAGTACCTTCCTACAATGAAAGAGAGGATTTATTGGATAGGAAGAGTATCAGCAGCTGTTTTCCACTTTGATTACAGTAAGAGGCCTGACAATTCAATAATTAAGTTTTAAAATCACTGTTTCTTAGTTCTTGTTAAAAACTCTAACGCCTGTACAAATATTTATAGCAATGACCTCATCTTTGTGTTTGATCCTGTTTTCGTGAGCGGCGTTAGAGCAACTGTTAGAAATCTCACAAACCATTCTTGCAAATTATGTAACATGCACATATTAATACCGTCAATGACGATGTCACACTTGACGTTTTTTTTTAAGATTTAAATGTTCGGTTTTCGAAAAATCACCTTACTAGCGAGCTTGTTTGACAACGGTATAGAACAAACATTTCAAAAAAAACAAAGTGTAGGTACTAATCAATCATTTTGAAACTCCAGTTATGAAATTGATGACTTAATTTTGCTTTGCATATCTGGAAATTAGCCATTAACCGATAAAACAGATTTGTGGGTAGGTATTACCTGCACACGGGAGGGGGGGGGGGGCGGTCGTCTACTCGTCTGTAGATGGGCCGAGGTATTTCGGGGCACCAGGGACTTCCTTTCTAGGGTATACCTGGTTCCCCGGCTATTAGTACCCGAGACGGCGTGCGGTTTTAGTCGGTTCGAGTCCGACATGCCACCGATACCGGTGGTATCCGAGGGGATTTCCGCACGAAAAAAAAAACAAAGTGTTATTACCTGCGTACCTTCGTAACACAAAGAACACTTGATTGTTTCATCGTAATACAGTGCACAGGGCCTCATTTAGGGGAAGGCAACCGGGGCTACAGCCCCGGGGCCTCCACATAAGAGGTGCCTCCACAATAGACTTCGGAAAAAATTACCAATTCAGACTAGTAAACAACTTTTCATTAGATTTTTTTTTTCGCGTTTTACCTTTACCTACAGTACTTTCTACGAACATGATTGCGTATATGAAATATTTTCTTATTACTTTTTTTGAAATATTTCTATGCATGATTATCCCATGGCATTCATTATAAACCTAGGTGGCTTAGGAAATGTTATGTATATTAAGATTATCTTATTAATATGTTTAGACTTTGAAAGAATAAATTAAAAAAAAAACTAAAATAGCAGAACTCCTTGAAACACAACATGCTAAGACTTAGTTCCATTTCTATTTTATAGTAATAAAAAGTATAATAGATGAATATATTCATACAAATGGGCGAGGTTCATTATTTTATTGACTTATCACATGCGAATAAACGTTTAGTGACTGCTTATTTGCAATGAAGATAAAAATTTAAATCCTTTCTGCGTCAATTACAAAATTTGTTGGCCGGGCAATGAAACTCCCAATTTTGAATTTCACCCAATGTATTACAAATAAGTACATTTTAGAAAATAATGTAAAAACTAACACACTCATTGTTTAAAAAAACTGTAGACAAAAATATTTTCAGGAATCACTTCAATTGCTGCTCCTAAACGCAAAATATCTTTTCGTCTGCTGAGCTGCAGGTAACTGGAAACAAAGCATACATAGCATGGTAAATGTTTTGTCTCTTTCGAACCAGCAAATAATCAATAAAGCTATTTCACAATTGTGTTAAAGAGAAAATTGAAGCGACCATTTGGCATTTGACAGGTGCCAACAGCCTGCTTGAATCCTAAGGGACGACGAACGAAAGGCCCCTCGAACCAAGATAAATGTAGGTCTTCGGGCCACATCTGAATTCATTAAAGCAGCGTCAATAAATAAGTGAAGTATTAATCCAGTTCGTTGTTGACTAAATGAACATACACTATGCATTGAATAACGCTTGCATTACCTAAAAATACTCGAATAACTAATTCTGGTCGTGGTTACAAGCTGTCATGAGATCTGGGCTTATGTAACATTTTTATGTTTGTGAAATAACGTTATAGTTACCTGATAGCAGTTGTTTACCTCCACTTAAAGGTAAGGGATGTGTTTTTAGCTGTGTCTGTGCATTTACTTGCAGTCATTTGAGTATGTAACCTTGAAATGCATCGTGTAGGTGTATACCGGTGCTTACCCGCTGTAACTCACTAATATATTAACATTTAGTCTTTAAAGCTTGTTTGTAGGTATTAATTTAGATAGTGATATCCGTGCTTTAATTTTATTTTGTGAGATTTCTTCCATCACTGCCTGTCAGCCTGCTAGAAATGACACAAATGCCGTGTTCGACATTCGAACTTTTTTTTTTGTCGTTCTTCACCCTATTTAAGGAGGTTTTATTCTTCACTTTAATTCTTCTTTAATGAAATTCGCCCTGATAGACAAGTGTTGTAAGGCATTATAATTCTAATTGGTTTTAATTTATATTGATTTATTTTCCTTAAATAAAAAACTAACTGCTTTTAAATATTAGATGTTGTATCTATGTAATTAATGATTTAATATTAGTTAATGATATATTCTGATTTAAACACGCTTGGTTTGTTTAAATAAACTGTGGATTGTTACTTGTTTCATTGACTAGCTGATATCAAGCTATAATAAATAATATAATAATAATATAGTAAGGTCATGCTTACTATATTATTATTATATTATTTACTTCATTAATACAGGGATTCCCAAACTATTTTAGACCTGAGACACTTTTTCTAAAATGAACTGATATCTCAGACCCCCATAGCCAAATTACTGCAGGCTTATTGACTTGTTGAGTTTTTTAAAAGAACAACAATCCTACTAAAATATTAGTCATTCTTATTACAAGTGGGTACACTTAACACAACTGATATAGTGTCTTGAAAGTTTCAAACAAGAACTTGTGTTAATTAATGGGGGTTGATTTTTAACCTTGGAGCTAAGGTCCAAAATTTGGCTTTGTTTATGCAGACTCCTTGGAAACCAATTTCGAGCCCAAGGGGTTGATATCAACTACTTTGGGAATCCCTGATTTAATAAATGGTATCAGAAATTAAATAGTTCATATACTAGTGTGGTTATTTAATAGATACATATTGCTTGGTTCGATCTATGATATTATTTAATCAATTTACTTAATCCATCAATATATGAGATTATTTTTTACGTTATTCTAAAAGCATTATAAATTTAGCCAATTTTTGAATAGGTCAGTATATTAGGTTACTGCAGGCATAAGTGACTAGAATAAGAAAAAAAAACTAGCGTCTTATTGGAATATCATTTAAAAGAAAAAATGTTTCTGAAATATGTTTATTCTACCTAACTGGAAATTTTCTTACTTTACTAACAAGAATCTTATGTTATCTTTGCTCTAACATTAATCTTTGCCCTTTAACTTGTTTATCCCGCAGACTGCTTACAGAAATTTTGTATGGATTAGGTAGACTGCGTTTTTGACTAATTTTAATCATAGGAATGATCTCAACCTCCCTCCGATCTCTGCTTTACAATAACAAGTAAATACATAAGATCCATGATCTTAGCTCATACATACCATAGATACTAAAATGGCGCCAAATAATGACACTTGATAGCATCACATAAAACAGAATAGATTTCAGTGACATCATATAATGCAGGTCATACAATGAATGTTGCTGTAAATATATGGTGTAAAACTTACATACTAAAACAACGATGTATAATGTCTGTAGTTTATTACTCATCACAATGGAGCGTATAATATTCGTGGTACGTATTACACATGCCACTTTTAATAAATTGTCGTCCATTACCCTATTATTATACTTTAAAAAGGTTAAAGCTCTTATATAAATGACATTGATGTGGAAAATATATTTTATGCCTTCTTATGACGCATAGTCTTAGCATTTTCATAAACATCACACCACTAGTGCGGTCGCGTAGCGTCAGCCATTTTTTATTGTCGTCGGTCAGAAATGTATGATCTATCCTTGTTCCATTAATGACAATTTTTCCTTGATAAATAATGCTTATGTACCATTCAACACATTCAATCTGTCTCTGTGTCAATTATCATCCAGATCTTTAATTCATTCTAGCAGTCCTCACTAACTTTCGCGTTTATAGTAATATTATAAATAAGATTCAAGATGACTACTTTTTTAAATTTAGAGCGGTATAATGTGTTTTTTTTTAAATGTTTGTTTCCCAAATTTTCCAAAATTGACATCACCCCTTTAACATATTTCACGTTTTAAGTATTTTTTTTAGTTTTATACACTTCTACACATAAAAAGATTAACTATTCCAAATATGAAATGATTCTGTGCGCCATATTTGTTAAAAAAACGGGCTTCTTCACATATTAATATCCAGATAATAAATTACTTTCTTATATCTGAAATAAGTAACTGCCAGTTTATGTAAATTCTTGTTAGAAGTTATCAGCACTACAGCGTATACCTATCTCGACGCTATCATAGCTTCTTGTTATGATGTAATAACAAATTTTCATTTAACAGTAAATTTATCAGATAAAACAATACATAAACCGCAAAATAAATTAATCATTTATGATTTTATATAGTGATAAGAACCGATTTCTTAGATAAATAGACCTATAAAAGATTATAACAAATTAAAATTATTTATAAATCACAAATGAATACTGTATTAAGATGTCTTTTTAACCACCTTCAAAGTCCCGTTAAGTCCCATTAAAATTTGAAAAAGAATTACTGCTCTGTAATATAAATAAATTTATTGTAAACTGCCTTCCCTGTTAATTATATTATAAATCGTCCTCTTAGTGTCGAACAATTTTAATTTTTTAATATGTAAATTAGTTAATTTCGAATTTTCGCGTCAAATTTTCGTGTCAGAACTCACAACTTACTTGTGACATAAAAAGCGTTCTCTCTGTATTACACAATACGTTCTAGCCTAATTAAAAATATCGGTAAAGCATGTATCAGACCAATTCTATTATTACAATATTTAACTTTTACAATAATTAGAAAAGAACATTTAAAGTTCTCTACTGTAATGCCTAGTTTTCATGCGTGCCGAGGCTTGGCAAACGTCCACAATACAGATGTGGACAAATTTTTATTCAAAATATAAACTAAAAGAAAAAATCCTCTCGCTCGACTGCTCAACCAGTAGAGCATTGAGACTTATGATAATTCCCGACTGTTCATCTCATATCCAATCGAATAGTAAAGAACAAGCTCGCGCCAACATGTAAATACCTCGCAAACGCTTGTCGCAAGCTTCTTTTGATCTGTGTTCAAAATCCGACACTAATGGACTAAATATATGTACGGGATTTAAGGTGATCATGTAATATATATGACTCTAAAAGCGGTGATCACTGCAACGTTTGAAATGTCGGGCAATATATCAAATAATACCTACTTTACGTTATTTACTACAAGAATACCGTTTATGATATTTGTAAGATCGAGAGTAGATTCGAACTGAATTTTTACCAAATTGTTAATTACCAGAAATGACCTTAAGAGCTACTTGGTCTGATAATGTACTCGTATCGTTTAGTATTCTTCAGTTAGACGGCACACTAGGTTCTTCACCTATTCATATCTCTAATTCCATGTCCATATTCTCTAGACAACCCTGCGGAAAAGAAGTCGTGATTATTGTATATTTATAACTTCCTCGTATATATTTAGGTAGTCATGAATTAACCATGATTTTGTCTTATTCCAGGGTCAAAAATCTCTATCGAATACTCAAAATGTTACGGCGCTGCTCGAAGCATTTACAGACTCTGTACCGGAGGCAAGGGCAAACCCTCCGGCTGAAGTCTACAGAGGTGCCCAAGGTCTACGGAGCCCTAGCCCAGGCTTCTGCCCGCCTTACCGCCCCGCGGGTAATTACCGCTGCACATAACCAAGTTGCTACTATACACTTCACCAATCCACTCCTCGCCGAACAGGATGTCATGACACCCAGCTTTCCCGACTCCGTGTCGGAAGGTGACGTAAAACTCGACAAAAAAGTCGGCGATGCAGTCGCAGCCGACGAAGTAGTGCTTGAAATTGAGACCGACAAGACAGCCATACCCGTCATGGCACCCGGTCACGGTGTTATCAAAGAGTTTTATGTCAAAGACGGAGACACTGTCAAGGCAGGCCAGAAGCTGTTCCGGTTGGACATAACCGGGGAAGCCCCGAAAGCGGCTGCTGCTGCTGCACCGGCTCCAGAGCCTCCTAAAGCTGCAGCGCCCCCCCCGCCACCACCGCCACCAGCAGCCGCCGCTGCTCCTCCTCCACCACCCCCACCACCGCAGGCGGCAGCACCTCAAGCGCCACCAGCTCCAAAACCAACTCCCCCTCCGGCTGCCCCAATTTCCTCAATTCCAGTTGCAGCGATTCGTCATGCTCAGGCTATTGAAACTGCAACCGTAAAAGTCCCACCAACAGATTACAGCAAAGAAATTGCTGGGACGAGGTCGGAACAGCGAGTTAAAATGAACCGTATGCGTCAGCGCATCGCTCAGCGCTTGAAGGAAGCCCAGAACACCAACGCTATGTTGACCACCTTCAACGAAATCGATATGTCTCATATCATGGCCTTCCGTAAGAAGCATTTAGATGCTTTCACCAAGAAGTACGGGGTCAAACTTGGTTTGATGTCGCCTTTCGTAAAGGCAGCAGCCAACGCATTGATGGACCAGCCGGTCATAAACGCTGTGATTGAAGAACAGGAGATCATATACCGTGATTACGTAGATATTTCCGTTGCAGTCGCGACCCCTAAGGGTTTAGTCGTACCTGTAATAAGAAATGTCCAAAACATGACTTATGCAGACATTGAACTAACCATTGCTGGTTTAGCAGAGAAAGCCAGGACTGGTAAGCTGACTATTGAAGAGATGGATGGCGGCACTTTCACTATCAGTAATGGTGGAGTATTTGGTTCGTTAATGGGCACTCCAATAATAAATCCACCTCAGTCGGCTATTCTCGGGATGCATGGTATCTTTGAGCGTCCCATTGCTCTGAATGGGCAGGTCGTCATCCGACCTATGATGTACATCGCGCTGACCTACGATCACAGGTTAATCGATGGCCGTGAAGCTGTTCTTTTCTTGAGGAAGATCAAGGAGGGTGTTGAAGACCCCGCGACTATTGTAGCTGGCCTATAGAGCGTTATGGAGACTTCCGATCGAAAGAGCGAGAAACTGACAATTGTATAGATGCTTAACCAACACACATGTATCAAAATAGTGGCCAAAATTGTGTTTTTGGTCAATACATACTGTTGTATGGTGGTCCTTAAAAACGTAAAATCTTGCTTTATGGCATTTATGTACAATGTTACCATTATAATAAACTAAGATATCGCGATCGGAGGCTAAAATATCATGTGAATTAAGAAGGATTTGGTCAGTCGTGTCTTAAACGTCTGATGTGTAGCATGTGCGGTCGTCAAATCATTTTCTTCGTTATTTATTAAAGTATCGCATCTGTAGGTATTATTTATATTAAGACAAGAAGTACATTGTTATCAGTATGTGAATACAAACTGTTTTATAATTTATTTGTTTCGTTTACCGCATCGATCTGTTTTGGCACATTTAGATATAAATTTTCAGTATTTGAAACGTTTTAATGTGTGAGCATTAAATGTAAAAATATATATAATATTATGTATGTGAAAGTATATTTTTTATTTGAAACCTGTTATATCTGTAAGAGGATGACGATGGATAAACAAATATATAGATGTTATTTTCCTATCATAATATATCCTAGCTTTTGCCCACGGTTTCGCTCGCGTATATAGTATAGAATGACGGGCCTGTTGGTCTAGTGGTTAGTGCCCCTGACTGCTAAACCGGAGGTCATGGGTTCAATTCCCACCCAGAACAAATATTTGTGTGATGAGCACCATCGTATGTTCTGTCTGGGTGTAATTTATCTATAATATGTATGTATTTAGAAATATATAAGTATGTTTATCAGCAGTCTGGTTACCATAGCACAGGCTCTGCCTCGTTTGGGATCAGACAGCCGTGTGTGAGATGTGAGAGGTAATTATAATTATTATTATTATATGTCAATTTTGTCACTAAATTTGACCGGGTTAAATAGCCTCTGTGACTATTCTAGACTATCTGTGTGCCAAATCTCGTCCAGATCCAGAAATCCGTTTTGCAAGTTAAAAGATGAGTATCTTATCTAATTATTATTTTTGATAGAGAATATAATTGAATTGGTCATTTCAAACCTCATAAGTCACACAATTCGTATTCACAAAAATGCAACTTTCATGCAAAACGAGTTTAAAAGGACTTCATTGGTAAAAAATAAAATATCGAATAAACTTTACAGTTTAATAATAATAATAATAATGAAAAACTTCAGAAACTGTTCTTGACTTATGTTGTTTTAGCAAGAAATAGCGTTAGTGTAATATAATTTAATCAGAACAATAGTAGTAATCATATTTTTTTTTGCTTTTTATTTACAATTAATAATAATAATAATACTCTACCACATTTACACAACGCCATCTAGAACCAAACTAAGTAGAGCTTGTACTATGGCTACTAAGTGAAATACACATATACCTTTTTTTTTTAAATACATACATTTATTACATATTATACATAAAAACACCCAGACCAAAATAAAACATTAGATTTTCTTGCACACAAATGTTTGACTTGAGCGGGAATCGAATCCGCGGCCTTTGGAATAGCAGTCATTTGCACAAACCACTACGCCATCCAGTCGTTTATTTAATTACATTTAAATTGAAAAAGTAACTCATTAACATTTCACTTGTATTAATTTATGTTTTTGTGCTTGTTTTTTTATTTATTTTATAATTATACATGTATTAAAATCCTCTTTAGTCACTAACTAATGTTGTTTATGCACTGAACATCATCTACGCGGTATTATTTAAAGAGGAAGGAATCTATTGACATACGTGCCTTACCTCCAGAATACGCATCTACCTTATGGAAAAGATTTTCTGCTCGTCTGCCCTCTCTAATATAAAAAAATGTTAGAAAAAAACATAACTAAAGAGGTTTTTGAAATGACCGATTCAATTGTACTGAGAGTTTGGAATTAAGTTTAGTTTGAAAAGTATTACTTTTAATATTTATTGTGAGTTTGAAAAGCTACTACTAATAATAACGAAGTTTCATAGAAATTTCCAACCCCCATTATACACACTTCAGGGTGGTTTTTTTTAAATCCTTTCTTAGTAGTGCACTAAGGAACATTAGTGTAAAATTTCATGCTTCTAGTCCCAGCGGTTTCAGCTGCGTTTATCGACTAGTCAGTGAATCAGTCTATCAGATTCTTCTTTTATAAATATAGAAATGCAGCTTTAGAACTCGCAGCTTGGAAACCTGTTTAATATCAAAATATATTTATGTACTTTTTTAATATTGACACCTCTCACACATGGCCGTCTGATCCTAAACTAGGCCGTTCTATAAGAATCAGACTGCTGTTAACCATTCTTTAATATTTCTATATACACATTTATAATTATAGATAAATTATACCCCGAATTAATGATAATAGACATATTTGTACTGCTAAGCCAGAGGCCGCCGGCAGAGGAGGCGATGAGCACGATAATTGGTTCTGTGTCTGGGTAATTTGTATTCTATACAAATATATAAAATTGGAGTGTCTGTTTGTAATATTAAAATAACCGTACATATGCCAAAATAACATTTTTTTCAATTTTTGTCTGTCTGTCTGTCTGTCTATCTGTCTGTCTGTCTGTCTGTCTGTTTGTTCCGGGTAATCTATGGAACGGCTGGACCGATTTTGACGGGACTTTCACTGGCAGATAGCTGATGACATAAGGAGTAACTTAGGCTACTATTTTAGACTAGCTTCGCCCCGCGGCGTTGCCCGCGGTTATAACAACAAACGCGGGTAACACCGCGGGTCTCAGCTAGTTTAATATGTAAGTATTCAGAATTAGACATGTATGTTTATCAGCAGTCTATAGTTACACAGGTTCTACCAGGTTTGAGATTAGACGGCCGTGTCTGGGTGTGTCATTTATAATTATGGATCTAGGTCAGTATTTTTTACCCAGGACTAAGAAATCTCGAGCAATAACGGATTCATACAGAACTTTAGCAAACGGCTGTAGATTTCAGAAACACTAGAAATCGCCTGGTGAGCGAATTATTAGAACAGTTTAATTTAAACTGTCATTGTAAAGACGTGTACGATTACAGTAAATTTATTTAACATAATAAATCAAAATTATTGAAATTGTCATGTAAAATATATTCCAACATTAAGTAAATCCACACTTTCTGTAAAAGTATAGTAGAAAGTGTACCAACAACGAAATTAAATGGCCACTCGATACTAGATGGCGCCTTTTACTAAGTACAAATAGTTTAATTATATTCGTTATCCAGCAACTTACTAGACAGTCAAAGTATTTGTCAAACTTAGTATGAGTGTTATAAAGAGAATGTTATGTTTTTACTGAGTGTTGTCGAATCTTGTTTACATAGTTCGCTCTAACAACGTTAGAAAAAATCGTGAGTTTAATGCGGAATTGTGATCTTGGATGTCCAATGAAATTTAAAAACGAAGTGATCAAGTTAATTTTTGTATGGTTAATGAGAGAGGACAACATAAAAAATTGTGGGTATGTAGCTATGATTGAATCCAAAACGAATAATGTCATTTTCTTTTATAAATTGCATAGACAAGTAATTAAGTGAGTATTAAAAAGATTTTCAAAAGTTTTTGGTTCGAACAAATGCCTTAGTCAGTGTTAGTGAGCTACTAGTTTAGCATACCATCGCTAGATGACGTACGTTGAAAACGAAAAACGCTGATCGCAAAAACTGCTTGTAAAATTTTAAACGGAATGTCTAACGGAAAATTTGTGATATTTAATAGTAGAAACTCTATAAAATTCAAAAAAAATTCATTGCATAGCAATATATAACTTTGGCATATTTATTTACATATATTACTTAGTGCTGCAAAAGATTTATTTGCATAATTTTAAAGAAATGGGATAAACTTTCCTCAATTTTTGTGAAATTTACATAAAAATCAATCGACTATTTTCGAAAGTGAATTCCTTTTATCTACAATAGAAGGTACTCAAGTTTAACCTAGCCCACTTAGATCGCGAACTTGATTTTTTTTAATCTTGTTTTTGTTCTCCTGTAAAGTATCTACTGATTTTTTACTTGTATCTTATACCAAAGGAGGCACAGAATTGCAATATGATAATTTAATTTATTTTTGTAGTTTAGTGTCTGTGGTGGTTTTTTTATAAGTTCTACGCCCTCCAAGCATAAATAAATTAATGAACAAGGTGTATCTTAGAGTATCTATATTAAAAAGAGTGAGGGAAGATAAGCGTGGTCGTTTACGAAATAGCAAATATTTGCATGCCTAATACAGGCAGAATATAGCTCGAACAATGCGTGGTGGTTAAATCTGGTACCACCTGTGTTCTGTGCAAATAAATGTTTCTTTCTTTCTTTCACTCTAACATGACACTGACGTTTAGTGGCGCCCTCTTTTTACTCAAAGAATGTCTGAACTTTGAAGGACTCGTTTCTATGGCAACGCCTCATAACAAAGCGTACTTCAAGATGGTAATATCTTGTTTCATTAATTGTGTAATAATTATAGTAAATTAAAGATTATTATTCAATAAGATTATTTCAATACTACTTTGAACAGTGATATTGTGTTGTTTTAAACCCCATGGTTCTTGAATATTATGTAAAATATTTCAAGGTAAGTTTTAATGTGGTTTACTAATAAATTATTCATCTTGTTGAAGTACACGTGTTTACGTTTGCAATACCAATCGATATGTGAAAGTAGGTTACAATGAGTCATGAGATATGGGACATTCTAGAGAACTGTTCTTTTTAATATACATACATATTTATTTATTTATTTAAAACTTTATGTACTTATGTACCACGGCGGGCTTAATGCCCAAGGCATTCTCTACCTTTAAGGGGTGAAGAAATCAGGTGAGGTAGGTAGGTATTTATAATAGCAGGTAAAAGTACTAATTAAATTCTTTTTAAAACTTTAGTAAGAAAAAAGTAATAAAAAAAAGTTACTAAAAATAGTAGACGAATTGGCAATTTTTAATCATTTCAAGTTACTAGGTTCTTAAAGAAATTGTTTTAGAGATACACCTTTTTTTAGAGTCATAATACTTTTTTTATTTACCTGAAATATGGGGGGTCACGTGCAGACGGGTCACCTGAGGGAAGTACACTTTTACAGATTGTTTAAAAGTAGCAAGTAACTTCTGCAGTGTATCCGATACGGCCTTTAAATCTTATACGTAACATACCAACAACATACTCCTTTCTCAAAGGCCGACTACGGCGTTCATGGGCGGCGGTCTAAGATTAAATTTGTATTGATTAATTAACAGTAACAAATGACGACCAGCATTTCAAAAATGATATCTTCCTTTCGAGTAAGTGAATAAAAACCAATATGAAGTTTTTCATGTTTAAGTGAAGACTTACCATGCAGACAACAATAAAAAAAACAATTGATGCTAAAGGAAAGCGAGAGAAACAGCCAAAAGACGATGCTCCAAAATCTCAGGATGAAAAACTTAAAAAGACTCCGAATAGCATATCTACACCAAGAACTTACGTACAAAAAAGTTCTACTGCCGATATTTATTCACAAAATAAGAGATCAACAACACATAGTATCGAAGCACCCAAAAAGGCCGTTCATGGTACGAACATAACCAGTAATGTATCGCCAATGAGAGATCAATTAAAATCGTCCTCTTCTTCAACAAGTGTGGCTAGTAGTGTCAACTCCAGCCGCGAAAGAAATAAGATGGCAGTACAGAAAAAAGTTGATGCAATAATAAATAGGCATTCATCCACAAAAGCAAAAGATTTTAATGTCACTGTTAACTCACCAGTTGTGAGAAGAAAATTGAATTTGGATAAAGAGAAGAGTTTTGTAAAAGAAGATTCTAAACGAGAAAAGGATTATTCGCCAGTTGTAAAAAGAAAATTGAACTTAGATAAAGAAAAAAGTTTTGTAACAGAAGATTCTAGGCGGGAAAAGGATAATTCACCAGCTGTAAAAAAGACACTTAATTTAAATAAAGAAAAAAACTTTGCAAAAGAGAGTTCTAACTCACCCGTAGTTAAACGACGGTTAGACTTAGACAAAGACAAAAAAATAACCAGAGAAGATTCTAAAATTGAAATTAAAAAAGAAAAGTTAAACTCTTCACGAAGCGATAGCCAAAAAGTTATGAATGCAGATGTAAATGAAAGGAAGCGAACTAAAACAAGAACTTTAGACGAAAGTGAAGTAAAAATATTAACTCCTGACGTAGTAGATAATAATGCTGAAATGTTCAATTTGTCCAAAAAGCTGAGCGCTAAACCAAAAGCGTATTATATAGATTTTGAAGAAGATAAAGCTATACAAATTGAAAAGGTAAGTTAAAAACATTATTTTTATACATTTTGTATATTTCAAAACCTGTTCTTTTTTAACTGTTAAAACATTTTCAGTAAATTTCGAACGGTCGTCAAATTTTTCCCGTATCTTACTTTTATACCCAAAGTTTCATTCGTGTCAGCTCTCTCACCAAATACGCACGAACGATTCCAACATCGACCTTTTAAGCTACTTTGGTCTTAGCTCCCCACCTTTTCAATTCTTATAAAAACTATTACCTTGTTAAAAAAGATTAGCTTCAAGCAGCCAGCCATTATCTTTTGCAATGGAGCACATTGAGCCTATCCCAGCCCAGCCGAAAGATTAAATAATAATATCATTACCAAAATAATTCACGGGACTCACCAGGCTATAGTTTTTTGTGACACCTTGTAAACGTAGAAGTGACTAATCTCGAATAATTTAGATTTATGTATTTAAGGTACCAAAACCCAAAACTCCTAGTGATGAAGAAGTCAGTTACGAAGATGACTTCGAAAGCTACGAATCCGACTTCGATTCCTATCACAGTTCAACACACAGCGAACATAATATGAGTGGTGATGATACCAGTGAACAAAATAATTCTGTAAATGAAAGTACCGATGTCGTTGAGCAGAAGGATGTTAAAGATGAGGAGAAAATGTTGGATTCAGGTAAGTTTGGTGTTATTTTGCGTAAGGAGGAAAATTCATCTAGTAAGATAGAATTTATTGGCAATAGTATTGCCGAAGTAAACAACTGATTCTTTGTCGCATTATGATAAAATTGTAATTATTCCTAATAAGATTTTGGTAAGTAGGTATATAAAAAGAGAAGGAAATCTTATACCAACCCGTCTGGCCAGCTTATAGTAGACCAAGATATCCTTTCTAAGGAGAGGCCTATGTCCGGCAGTGAACTGTTATAGGTTGTTGATGATGATGATGATGATGATGATATAGGGGTCAAAAAGCAGACGGTTCACCTGATAGCGAGTGACTGCCTTCAGTACCTTGAGTGCCCCTTCTCCAGAAATCTCGAATTTGAAGGAAGAGCTTTAGGCTCTGGTAGCTTCACACTGAAACCACAACATCCAAAGAAATGTTTAACAGCGGTTTTCAGTGAGGCGCCGAAATATGGCTCTTAATTATATACTTGAAATAGAATATGCTAACATCAACGTGACAGCTTGATTTTTTTTCTAGCCTTTGTCGTAATACTTACGTAATTTAACCAAGAATACTGAATATATCCATACCCATATCCCATCGAATAGTTCTATTCCACTTCTTTTATCTCTCTTGTCTTCAGGGAGTTTCGACCTCCGGGATCAGCGTTCAGCGACGAAAACTAAACCAGTCCTCGACTTTATATTGGAGACAGCTGAAGGTGCGGACGATAAACGCAGCTCTTTGACTGATGAGGGTTTCCAAGAGATGAGCAGTTCTAGTGCCGTGTCGAGTATCAGGACTGTTCACGTAGATGTGCTAGACAGGTAAGATTTTTGACGTAAATCTGCTAATCTATACTAATGTTATTGAGCTGAAGAATTTGTTTGATTGGTTGAACACGCTAACCTCAGGGACTACTGCAGGCTTAGCTAAGTTGATTATCTATAAACATAAACGCTATAGAAAACTCATCAAATGTATGGTAATGACAGCATCTCAAAGTTAAGGTAACAAAACAATATAAGTCTTAGACAAGTTGACAATCGTTCAAAGTAAGGAAGGTAATCGTTTCAACAATGTTGATCGCTAATATCGCTAATAATATAAAGTTGCGAATTGATAAAATATTTGAATTGAATGGCTAATTTGTCAAGGAAGGCTAAAGGCTTCATCACGCTACGACCAATAGGGTCGGAACAGCAATGAAAAAGGTGGCAAAAACTGAGCTTTATTTCTTTTAACACACACACACACACACACACGCGAGGTTGTCCGTTGGTTTAACAATAATACATCATTTAAGATAAGCATTGCGTAATATTTTACACACATTACATATATGCAATGTGTGTAAAAGATTACGCAATGCTAATACACGACACACAATTGATATTTGAGATCATCAGATAATCTATTAGTGGAAATACCAAGGCTACTACAACGTTTTTAACCGACTTCAGGAAGAGGTTCTCAACCCATGACCATGGGCATCGGTAGTTATTTACCATGCCGCTATGCCAGAACAAGAACAAGAAAAACTTAGTTTTTGTAGAGTCGGCATCAAAGTTTGTACCGTATGCATAGATTTACAGAGGCAATGCTAAGAATATTTAAATAAAGTAATATATAATTTAAAAACTCGCGTTTTCCAATGTTTTTCTTTATGACTTTCGAAAACGATGTGTATTTGTGAACTTATTTATATTACGATCCCTGTGACAAATTAAGAATACGGAGTGTCACCTCCTAGATGTCGTAAGAGCCGACTAAGGCAGCAAACTACGTAGGATGACAGTACTGCAAAGAGAAGGGAAACTTGACAGAAACCCTATACCAAACCGTCTGGCCAGCTTGGTATTGTAGGCCAATATCTCCTTTCTAAGGAAAGGCCTATGTCCAGCCGTGGACTATGAAAGGCTGTTGATGTGATGATGTTGAATAAGGTTTTATCTTCCTATACAAAATTTGGTACTTTGTATTATTTAGTCTGTGGTATACAGGTGTTAGTATCTCTCTCATATTACTCTGCTGTTTTACTTCTTAAGATAAAATGCCTATATCTACCTAAAACATTTTTCAGACCACTTTTCATTGATTTTACAAAATCTAAAGAAAATAAACGAAAAAAGCGATTCAGCGAACGTCTAAAACAAAGAGCAAAGGATTTACTCAGCGTTATCACTTTCCATGAAATGTCATACAACCTCTTTGAAATGAAACCTATTTCGTATGATTTGTACATGGCTACATTTGGACGTTCAAATTATCAACAAGTGGCGGTTCAAACTTTTGACGATGGTATCACTGAGGAAGTTCAAACTGACGAAATAGAATATTCGCATAAATGGTCGCAACATCCAGTTGAATTTACAAAGAGTGATATTTGTTTCAAAGATGAAATGGATAAACGAAAATATAGCAAACATATGGAAGACTATTTGTTAAAGTTTACGTTTTTAACAATGCAAGGGTCGACTATTAAAACAAATAACGTGATTAATTACAATGAAAGTTACAAAACTGATCCGTTACGAATTTATTTTGAACAAAGAGACGGTGTTGGGCCCAGTGAAATGTTGCCATACGAAACTTACAAATCCAAATTAAAAAATAATGATTACAATGTACAGAGATTGGGTAAATTTTTGAAAAAAATGGAGAACAGAATGTGTAAAGTTCTTCTTAATAATAGCGGGAATCCAGAATTGTCTGAACTGAAAATTTCTAGGTTTTCGTTCAGTAAAGGATACGTTTCTATTTCAACAAAAAATATTACAGACAAAAGCATGTCGTTTTTAAACGACACAAAAATTTCGCAAATATATTTTTCTGAAACCAAAACTAATTTACTCATGACTATACATAAAAAAACACATGAGACTGATAGTAAAAAGTGTACTATTTGTCTATGGGATATTGGTGTTGCTAGACGCGAGCCGATGAAAATACTCACAGCCATAGATAATGTAGTTATAGGACGATTCAGAGGTGCCACTGATGGTTTCTTTGTTGCTGCCTTAGAAGACGGGTAAGTTTTATCAATGTTATAGATTCTTTGTATTAATTTCGTAAGATTATACCTCTTTTTCTCTAACTCTCCCTCAAGAGTCAGGGGGAGGGGTGGGGGGCTTTCTCTTGGTTTGGGCTCAAACTATTCAACTAAAAACTGTTCAGAAACTACTTAAAAATTCGTTTTCGCGGTATTATTATTCTATCAATCTGACTTCGCGGATGGCGTAGTTGTTTAAGCGGTCGCCATGCCACGCTTCCTACTACGCTGAGTGTTGTGTGTTCGAACCCCACATGAGATGACACTTTGTGTGATCTGTTCTGAGTCTGGGTGTTCTTTGTGTCCGTTTCATGAATGTTTGTACACACCCCTGCTGACATAATATATATAAAGTGCGGGAGTTGTATGAAAACAAAAAAATAGAAAAAAAGAATAGATCACGAAAATCCCTAATTCCAGCATTCTACTACAATTGTAAAATAATCTTTAGAAAACATTTAATTACTATTCCTTTGTAAATATATTAAGATCATTCCTTTACATAGAGCAACACAGGCCACCGGCCGACCGTAGCTGCTCTATGCTCCTTGAGTATTTTGAAACTTTTGTATGACTTATTTTCAGTTCGATACACCTCTGGGATCTGTCAGAAGAAGCAACATGGAGACCTGATGTTGCCCGTGAAGAAAATAGTAAGGAATTGGTAGAAATAAATGATGGAGACCTAACAGCGGTCGAAAGAGATAGAGAGTGGAATCAAAGAAACAGCCAAGTTGGGTTCGGTGAGGTATGACCATTTTAATCACGTGTGCGATATATATTTGACTATTTATGACCCTAACTGTTAAGCCGGAGTTCGAGGGTTCGATTCCTACACAAGACAAATAACTGTGTAATGAGCACAATCATTTGTTTTGTGTCTGGGTGTAATTTATCTACCATATGTATGTATTTAGAAATATATGTTTATCAGCAGTCTGGTTACCCTGGCTCAGGCTCGGGATCTGACTGCTGTATGTAAGATGTGTAAAGTAACTAACTAACTAACTGTAAACTAGTTTACAATTCGAAGAATTACTTGTGGCCAACATTTATCAAGAATTGTGTTCTAAGGTCATATAAAAACTAATATAAATGATCATATAAAAACTGCTGTAAAAAGCTTTGCTGGTCCGGCTTATATTATTATCACCTGTCATGGTAAGTACCATCTACTTGGTACGGCTACACTGTAAGTGTCAGTTATATATATCTGTCAGTGAATAAAAGTTTATTCAATGACAGATATATAACAAAAAAAAAAAAAGATTAACTGGGAGTAGTTGCCGAAACTAGTACTTTCTGGAGGCGATGCTGAACTCATTAGTCGCGTAACATCAATGTAATTCAGTCTAAAAGTCCAAGTTATACTGGACGATGATATAATGTCAGCAATCAACCGCCTTTAACAGTCAGGACATAGGCTTTGGCCTACTATACCACGCTGGCCAGACGGGTTAGTAAATGTATTTTTTTCAAGGTTTTCTTCTTTTTGCACTGCTGTTCTGATGCGTAATTTGCTCCCTTAGTCGGCTCTAACGAAAACCGGGGGATAAATAGGGGTGGTGACACTCCGTATTCTTAATCCACTGTTTTATGTAATATGAGGAAAGGAGCAGTCAGGTCACCTGACGGTAAGTCACTACCGCCGCTCATGGAGCTCAAGAGTTACAAGTGCGTTGAATATGAATAGTGGATTCGTATGCCACCCCCCAGGACTATGGGGGCAATTAAATCAGAGCATTGACAACGATCGAAATTGTACCGTAGGTCAATTTCTAGATCTGATAATCACCTGTTTCGGAATCAATTTTTTTTAAATATAAATACTAAGTCCCTATTCAATATGGTTTTAAATAAAAAAAAGATTAGTCAAATAATCAATGTCCGTGTGGTGACGAATTACGAACACGGAGTGTCGCCACTCCTGTTAATCCCAGCACTACAAAGAGAAGAAAAACTTGACAAGAACCCATTACAAACCCGTCTGGCTAACGTAGTTCGGGGATAACATCGTCCCCGAAATAAAATTGCAGCCACATACTAACTAATATTATACGATAATCCTTAACTACTTTTTACATTGCGTGAGCTCGGTACTCTGACGCCTTGAGAATCATAATGGCGTACTCCCAAAAAGCGCGGGGTTTCGTTTTGTTTATGTTGGCGCAGTCGGGTGTTGCCATGTCTCCGCCACATCAGTATATTGGTCCAAAACCTCTTCTCTATGGTGAGGCCTATATTCGGCCATGATTCATTAATCAATAAATTTATTACATTCAGAACACTATTCAGTGCCCGCTTCAAGCCTGTGCGTTCACGAACAGCGCTTACAATATGAGCGATGGCGACGTAGTAGACCGGGTGGTCGGATTAGAGCTGACAGGTGATCAAACTGTCAATCGAGAAGGACGAAGGATAATCGGTCAGGTGAGAGATGATGAAATTTCTACCAATTGTCAATTATATGTACCTATACCGATTAAGGACTTATATTTTAAACGGGATCCACATATATATCATTTTCTCCATCCGATCACTTAAGTATACTCTTAAACTTTGCAAGTATTTCAGCAAATGGCAATCTTGTGTCTACAAAAATCTTTTGATTTATCTGAATTTCAGTTTTATCAGACACTGAGACGTATCGAAAAAAAGAGACTTTACATTCTACTAAAGTAAAAAAAACATTTAATATTTTACGTCTTCGTAACATAATAACAATATGTTATAGGTTTAAATATACTATCTTACTAATATTATAAAGGCGAAAAGGAATAAAAGGAAGCAAACAGCCGCGGCCGTAATTACTTCCCCGTCCATCGCAAATGGTGCGCCAGGCAACAATGAGCTATGCACTAATGTGTAAACACCTACGCGACGTTGGCCTATAATTACGCATTGCGGAACCTGGGCCTCAATTCTGCTATTTTGTGTTCACGCCAAGCCACTGTCATACCACTGACACGCTATTGAGATTGAGTGGCCATTGGCATAATTTGAAAATATATTACGTTTTTTTGAGGAAATGTTTTATTTATTTTTCCAAATATGGCAATCTTTTTGATATCGCCACTGAAGAGCCACTGCCATTTTATTGCCACTGTAAAGACACTGAGTTAGTGTACACTACCGATATTTATACCGCTGCCAATGGCCACTCGATGGTATCTCAATAGCGTGTCAATGGTATGACAGTGGCTTGGCGTTAACATAAAATAGCAGAATTGAGGCCCTGGTCCATTGCTGTCCAATATGTATTGCAGCCTTTATGTTAAATGTTAATTGTGATTGAAATAAGAAAATGTAATAAGCGTAGTGTCAAATGTTGCTCTGTGGTTAAAATTCTCATTTCAATTATAAATTTTCATTCATTCAATTTTAGATCGCAGTTTTACAGCGTACAGGGATTCTCACAATATGGTCGATTATACAAGAAAAATCCAAGACAGTGCCACCAGATATTGGCAAAGCTTTCTGGTCAAAAATGAAACTAGAAAAATCTGAAACAATAAACTTACTCGACCACATCGATAACTCAGTAAAAGAATCACAAAATCAAATAGAATTTAATTTAAACGCGGCCAAAAAACGACTACAAAACAGAAAAATAGAGAGAAATTTGTTTAAAACACATGTTTCCCGCCCAAAATCTGCATATGACATTGACAAGCCGTCCAGTGCTGCTAGTGTAAAAAATAGAAAAGTGTTACCAGTTCAGGAAAATGTTTCCAAAAGCTGGGAAAGTGGCGTAGTGTGTTATGATTTAAAAGTTATGTTTTGGAGAAATAGTGATAATTATCTTATTGCTAAGAATTGTGGTGAAGTGATGTGTTGTAGAAGAACTTTAGGGGTAATAAGAATCAATAGGTTTTGTGTTGCAGGTATGTAATATAATTTTTACTATTACTAAGTAAATATATTTTGCTGCACACCAAACACATGCTTTATTTACATAAAATAAACAATGATCGGCTTTTATTTCAAAAAACAATATGGATTTTGAGATCACATAGAGTAAATATTTAATTATGAACATGTACAATTAAAGTCGAATGCAAAGGTGCAAAGCTGCCCATGATACTGGCAGCATTGCCTCGCTGAATTGCAACGAATATCCCTTGCAACAGGAAACAGCCAGAGCGGGAGTCACCAGCTTTATCCCTAACTCGGCGACCACTCGACTGCACGGATGGCGCAGTGGTTTAAGCGGTCGCCACGCCGCTTCCTACTGCGCTTCCTACTGCCTACTGTTGTGGGTTCAAACCCCACATGGGACGACACTTTGTGTGATCCACAAATTGTGTTCTGAGTTTGGGTGTTCTTTGTGTCCGTTTCATGTATGTTTGTAAAGTCCCCCACGACACAGGAATGTATTCCCAATGTCTTTTTCAGTTGTCTTTTTCAAATAAAAAAATAATAAAAAAACTCCGCAAAATGCCGCATAAAACGCATATTTCGGCACTCTCAAGGGAATCAAAATTCATACGGTACTTCTCGTTTACCTATAACTGAAATTTGGCAAGTAACATCGTTCTATACTACAAATACAAGGAAATATCTGAAAACTATACATTTGTAAATCAATCATAAAAATGTCTTTATATAGTCTTTATAGTATAGTGTTTAATTAAAGTACATTATCAATTGTTGAGGTACAATTTCTCTTGTAAAACTCAAAAAAATTGGTTTTCGAAACTGAATTTCGGGAAAAGCTCGGTCAAAAACTGTGATTTCGATTCATAAACTATTTGTAATATGTACGGAGCTCCCGTTTTTTTTTTGCTGACTCCCCAGTCATAGCTATACCCTCCTCCACACAATCTCCCTCATCATCTCTCCAATTGTATGTGCCTGTCAACTGCTACATGCTACATTTTCATCTCTTTTTATTATCATCCCGCCAAGTCACTTGTCAATAAAGTAATAATATTCCATAAAAACGAATTAAAGGCTACATAATGCGTGAGAAAACCCCATCGAGTCTCTTCTTTTTTTTTTCTTTTTAAAAAGACAATACATTCCTGTGTCGCGGGGGACTTTACAAACATATATGAAATGGACACAAAGAACACCCAGACTCAGAACAACAAATTGTGGATCACACAAAGTGTCGTTCCATGTGGGGTTTGAACCCACAACACTCGGCGCAGTAGGAAGCGGCGTGGCGACCGCTTAAACCACTACGCCATCCGTGCAGTCTTCACCCTACCGGGAAGTGTGTAAGTTGTGCTATACTGCGCGTAAATAAGAAAGATCTTGGAACAGCTTGCAATAAACATCTGAAAATTCGGCTTTAAGGTTAAATACAATCACCTCACCTTTTTCCTTCACAGCTGACGTATCATCAGTGACCTGTATAGAGGTATCACCACAAAAGTTACCTTATTATCTAATAGCTACTGACACTGGAACCATCGCTCTTTGTTCTTTGGTGGAGAATAGGGTTCTTCTTACGTTGGATTGTCGGTGAGTATGTTTGTGTGGTATGCTTTACATCCTGCCTCGAACTATGCTAATTATACCCAGGTCCTCTAGTCTCTAACTGAATTGCTTTTTTTATTATCTGGCTCTTCACTAAACAGCCATCATTGCGAACCAGAGAGTCAATATAAATCCTTACTCCTACTTATGTTTATCAGCAGTCTAATTACCATAGTGCAGGCTCTGCCTAGTTTGGGATAAGACGGCCGTGAGTGAAATGTGTGAGAATATTATTATTATAAATAACCATTGAGAAAACACGGGGTACAGCTGCTGTAAGTGGTTGTTGTGGCTCGTTGCTTATATTGCAAGATTGGGGCTCTTGTTCCCTCTAGGTTATATCAAATCAAATCAAATCAAATCTTTATTTGCCAACCAAGTGTACATCAATGATCTTATAATATTATATGTAGTAGTCCCAACTTACAACCCTTTTCCAGGCATTGCAAAATTAATATGTCTATGGTCAACCCCTCAAATCTGTCAAATTTTGACATATACTTTTTATAATCTGTGTTTCAGAAATATTTCCACCCAAGAAGTGGCTAAATGTCAGTCTGATCATAAAGGGCGGTACATCAGTACGGTGTTGAAGAAAGCGTTTACAGGGAATGATCCTCATTTTGGTAATAAGGTAAAGTATTTTCTAATTTTCAATGTTTTGGGATATTTTACGTATCGAATCTAGATCCAAACTAAACAGAATTCGTTGTATTAGGCCAAGAAAAAAGATAAAATATATTATAAATTATATTAATATTATTTATATTTTTCTTCCTCAGCTACCAATATCCTCTTTATCTTGGTCGCGCATCAACCCCTGCTGTATCTTCGCTTTACTAGATGGTAGCATAGTCTCGTGGGAGCTCTCCCACAGTGACATTTACGCTAAGTGCGCGTACGCAGATTCAGCTGTAACTTGTGCTGCGGGGGATAATACTCTGGTATGATTATTCGTTGATTAAGGGAACGTACTTATACAACTTGACCAATTAATTGGGGTTAGGGTGTCTTCAAAATACCATGCTTGGATACAAGGGCAGGGGGAGGGGGCTTAGGTTTTCGTCACGTGGCCAAAATCATATATGGCAAACACTCTGTGTTAGTGAAGACACATCATCATCATCATCTACAGCCTTCAACAGTCCACTGCTGGACATGAAGACTCTCCTATGAAGACACATAATATGAGCCAAATTGATGTTTTTCAACTTCCTACGAATTTCTGAATTGCTACGTGAAAAGTAAAGCAAAACCAAACAGGAGTGGGGAGAGGGGCTCTTGGCACATACATGGTGATCACGAAGAGAGTTGAGTAAGAATTATAGAAAATGGGTTACGTAGTATGGGTACGTTCACTTAGATTATGTAAATGTATTGTGATTGATATGTCCTTGTGGTGACGGATTAAGAATACTGAGTGTCATCACCCGTATTCATCGTCGGAGTCATAAGAGCCGACTAAGGGCGCAAATACGCAGGACAACAGCACTGCAGAGAGAAGGAAAACTTGACACAAACCCTTTTTTTTTTTTTTTTTTTTTTTTTTTTAACGTGTGGAAATCCCCTCGGACCGTCACCCCTCCGGGGTTTGCGGCGGGGTGGTGTGTAGGACTCGGACCGACTAAAACCACACGGTGTGCCACTCTGCGCCTGTAACAGGAGGGATCCGGGAACAGCTGTTGTTAAGACATCCGGACCCCTCCTAGCGCCAGCCCGCTCCTGGTGCGGGCTCCGTCTCGATGTTGTTCCTCTCTTTAGGCGACGTCCGGCACACGCGGACGCCGCCCCCTCGCGGCTGGCCAAACTAATGCGGGTGGAGGGGAAACCCACCCCGTCCACCCGCGGCCACACTCAGGGCGGCATGAGGCTGTGATATGCGGGCCTCCGCCGCCCGGTTCGCCGACGGCGGATCGGGTCCGAGTGGAGGTCGTCCTCCCGGGCCCTCTCCGCCGCCTCCTTCCGCGAGATTACTACCTCGCAGAAGGTTGCGACCGCGGTAAAACAACTGTCGCTACCGGCCATGGAGCGTACTACGGCCGGTAGCGAGAGATCCACTCCGATGACTGCAGTGAGGGCACGGCGCTGCGCCGCCCATGCTGGGCAGACCGCCAGCGTGTGCTGGGCCGAGTCCTCACTGCAGTCGCAGTGGTGGCAGGCGGGACTCAGTTCCCTCCTAGCGACCGTGTGCAGGTACTTTCCGAAGCAACCGTGCCCGGAAAGCACCTGCGTCAGCCGGAAGGAAAGGGTCCCGTGCTGCCGCCCTGCCCACTCGGCGATGACCGGCTGGAGAGCCTCCACGGCGGCGAAGCCAGCGCGTGGAGTCTCCAGCCGGAACGACCAACGAGCCATCGTGGCTCGGCGAGCGGCTTCGCGCCACTCGCGCACATCCTCGGGCGGAGGGCGAAATCCGCTCTCCGCCCGGGAGTCAGCCACTCGCCGATAAACTTCGGCGAGCACTTCCGCCTCCAAATCCCACGGGGGAGTTCCGGCCAACGCGCATGCCACCTCCGTAGAAACGGTGCGGTAACCGCGTATGGCTCTGACCGCCATTACCCTCTGAGGGCGCCAGAGGCGTACCCTATTCTGGGCGGTCAGAGCCGCCGCCCACACCGGTGCACCGTACAGCGCCATTGACCGGACAACCCCCGTGTACAGCCGTCTTGTCGCGACGCTGGGTCCACCCATATTGGGCAAGAGTCGCCCTAGGGCAGACGCAGCGCCGACCAGCTTTGGAGCAAGCTGTCGGAAGTGCTCGTCGAAGAGCCACCTCCCGTCGAGGATCAGGCCCAGATATTTCATCTGGGCCCGAACCGGTACGAGGACCGTGTTGACCACGATTGAGGCGCCAGGGGGTGGACCACGACGGGGCCCATGGAATAACAGGGCCTCCGTCTTATCTAGGGCCACCCGTAAGCCCAGCGCCTCAATGCGCCCGACCACCAGGGAGACTCCCCCTGTGGCCAGGCGCGCCGCCTCTTGGAAGTTTGCCCCCCGGGCTGTCACGAGGGTATCGTCTGCGTAACAGATTACACCCAGCCCGGGGGGGAAATCGGCGCGAAGGGCCCAGTCGTACCCTATGTTCCACAAGAGGGGTCCAAGAACAGACCCCTGTGGAACACCGCACGACATGGGCCGACACCTCAGATTACCTTCTCGGTCCTCGTACACGACGGTACGCTCCTCTAAATAGTCTGCCACTAGCCGCCTCAGGTACTTTGGCACCCCATGATAGTGGAGTGCTTCCCTGATGCAGCTGAATGGCAGACTATTGAATGCGTTGGCGATGTCCAATGACACCGCCAACAGCACGCCGCCACAGCTCACGGCCTCTTCGGTCACGGCCCTCAGGCGCAACACGGCGTCGACTGTCGAACGCCCCGCCCGAAAACCAAATTGGGCGTCCGACAGATCGGGGCCCACCTGGCAGAGGTGCCGGACGATGCGGGCAGAAAGAACCCTCTCAAACAATTTGCCCGCCTCGTCCAGCAGCACGATGGGCCTATAGGCCGCGACCGAATCGGCAGGCCGTCCCGGCTTCCTCAATAGGACCAGCTTCCCGCTCTTCCAGCACTCAGGGAAGCGTCCCGACGCCAAGCTAGCGTCGAACACCTCCCCGAGGCGGTCTGCCATGTGGTTGAGAGCCAGGGCCAGCACTCGGGCCGGTACCCCGTCTGGCCCAGGGGCGGTGTTCTTGGAACGGATCCGTAGAACAGCCGCCCCTACCTCCGATTCCCGGACGGGCGGAACATTATCCTCCCCGTGCTCCCCGTCATCTCCGGCCAAGGAGGCCATCGCCGGGGGAGTGTGCTCCGCTCGTTGTGGGAATAGGCCCTCAACCACTTCTCGCAGGAAGCTGGGCTGGAGAGTCTCCGTAAGGGGGGGCCCGACGCGCGGAGCTTTTGTCGCACCGCGCGGTAAGGGCGACCCCAGGGGTCACGATTAAGACCCTCCAGCATCTCCTGTCTTTTTTCTTCTTTGGCGCGGCTAATGGCCAGCTTCAGAGTTTTCCGCGCCCGTCGGTACTCCTCATGAAGCCGGTCCTCCTCACCGTCTCCACGGTGACGCCGCCGACTGCGCGTGTAGGACCTCCGGGCACGTGTACAGGCCGCACGGAGGTCCGCCAGCTCCTGGGACCACCAGTGGACCTCCTTCCTTGGAGGCCGACGACCTCGAATGCGGGGCATGGCCGCATCGCATACATGCGTAATCGCATCGCGAAAGCGACCAGCCCCCACGTCGACCTCCTCGGTCGGAGCCTGAGGAGACAGCCACGAGTGAATTATGGCTGCCTCCTCTAGTAGGTCCCGGTTCAGTCTGGCAACAGCCCACCGCGGAAAGCGGGATAAACGCCGCGCCACGTGACCCCTACTGGAGTCCTGGGTCCGGGAGAGCTCAAATCGGATATACAGGTGATCCGAGAGCGTCTCAACCTCTTCCAGGACACGCCAGTTCCTTACTCGTGCGGCGAGGGCAGGGGTAGCGAACGAAAGGTCCACTATCGACCCCCCCTGCTGTCGCACGCACGTGTTGGTGGAGCCTCTGTTGAGAAGACAGAGGCCCACCGAGGCCGCCCACTCCTCTACGGCCTCGCCCCTTGCGTCCGTCCTGGGGGAACCCCACGCAATGGACTTTGCGTTGAAGTCCCCCAGCACAAGGACGTGCCCAGACGCTAGTCGCCGTATCGAGGTCTCCAAGCTGGTTAGGAAAACCTCGAAGTCGTTCAAACTCCGGTTGGGGGAGAAATAGACACCATATATGGTGATCCCCCCCCACTCGACGGCGACATATCCAGTGCCCTTGTCTCTTAGCGACAAGGGCGGGGAATGAGCCGTCGTGAAACCGACGACTGCCACGGAGCCGTCCCAGTCACCCATCCAGTTTGGACGGGGAGGGACAGAATAGGGCTCCGCGACTACGGCAACACCTATCGACCACTGTGCCATGGTTTGCAGGAAGAGATCCTGCGCCGCGGCACAGTGGTTCAGGTTCGTCTGGACCAGGAGGTTGGAGACTTGATCCATTACTGGATCGTCTCTACAACCTACCCACTACTACAAACCCTATACCAACCCGTCTGGCCAACGTGGTATAGTAAGCCAAAACCTCCTTTCTAAGAAGAAGCCTTTGTCCAGCAGTGGCCTTTTAAAGGCTGTTGATGATGTATTTCGATTACAGAGTTTTCTTTTGGATTTGGATTGTACCCCAATTTGAAAAAACTATATAGAAGATATAGAATGCAAGCGAACAGATGCGTTAATTAAAGTGAAAGTATAAATACTCGTAGATAATATTTCTGGGCGATGCGTATATGTATATCCTAGTGGCTTCTCTAATCGTAGGATAGACATACGTATATACGACCCCAGCTTTTCCGACTACGACTACAGAAGGCCAATTCTCGTAATAAAAGTTCGGTCACAATTCTGTTCCGATCAACCTTCGATCTCATAGCTGTCATAAAAGTTATTTTCGTAGTAAAGTATTAAACATCCAACGTTAACTGTAATGTGATTATATCGTATTGTAAAATCTACTAATCTTTACTATTTTATTACGAAAATACCTTTTATGGTAGTTGCAAAATCGAGAGTTGATTAGAACTGAATTTTGACAGAACTTTTATTACGAGAATTGGCCTTCTGGTTTGACGGTAATAGGTTCTCGCTTACGTAAATGAGACAGTTTGCAAAATAAATGTTTGTATGAATGTATGATATCTACACCGCCATCTTGTTTCAGGCGCTGGTAACTATGGAGGGCGAGGTCCAAGTGCACAAATTGACGAATGAACACAAATCTAAGGAGTATCTGCAACTATTTGAGAAATATATAACACTACTGTAAAGTCTGTAAAGATTGTTAAGAACACTGATAGATTAATTTATTAATGCAATTATAAAAAGAAATGCAATTTTATTATAAGTATTTTTATTTAGAACTTTAGTACTAGTGTTTTTCAGGTATCCGCTTCACACCAGTGTAGTACTGATAGTTGACAGCGCAGCGACTTTCAAGCACGGTACTTACTTTTATTAGATAGGTATGTGGAGGTGTGAAGATCCATGTGGTAACGGATTAAGAATACATACGGAGTGTCACCACCCCTATTCATCCTGTGGATGTCGTAAGAGCCGACCCAGAGAGCAAACTACGCAGGACAACAGCACTGCAAAAAGCAGGAATGCTGAAACAAACCCTATACCAACTCGTCTGGCCAGCGTGGTATAGTAGGCCAAAACCTCCTTCCTAAGGAGAGGTCTGTGTCCAGCAAGTGGACTATTTTTATGGCAAAATTCAAACACTTACTTAGTCCATATAACTCGTGATTGCATCAACTTGGGTCAGTTTTTGTCTAAGCAATCATTTTTTTTTCTTGAAAAACACTTTAAACTACAATTTAATGTGTATTATTTGTATATAATGTAATAGTATGTGAATTTCGCGAAAAAAAAACTTCCCCCACTTCTGGGGTCATACGGAATCCAGGCAATCATGGCGCTTATTCTTTACTAACGTGAAAACCTTCATTCCTGATGGTTTTCATCAATATAACAAATACCCTGGAAATTTTGTTGATGATGATGACGTAAAGTAACCGTTACATCATCATCATCAACAGCCTTTATGGACAACATCAACAACCTACTAGTAGGTAACCAACGCCACTTATAATATGATGAACATTATGATGACTTAGAAATAAAATACCCATAATATGGTTTATTGATTAGATAGACTTATAATAAATGCCTACGATGATAGCCCACAACGTGATCGGTTTTTTATATCAGTTAGCAACTAATCTGTGTAGTACCTAATCTTGATCTTGTGAATAGTAGCTTGATAGTATATATTTGTAAGTCATCGGCATAAAGATAATTTTACAAATGGTTTTTTTTATAAAAGTGATACATAGTTTTATCAAAATTCTGCAATTGTTTAAGTGTATGATGAAATTTTAAAACAATTTTCGTTTCAAACATTCGCCAGCCGTGTATAGATAGGTCCATGTTACAGTTTTATTTATAAAACAGGCACAGAAACAGACAGGAAATTATGTAACACAAATAAATAGCATTTTAACATACATATTTAACATAAGTATATCCGTGTAGTGACGGATTAAGAATACGGAATGTCACTACCCCAATACATCCCGTGGGTGTCGTAAGAGCCGACTAAGGGCGCAAAACAACGCAGGACACCAGCACTGCAAAAAAGAAGAAAAACTAGACACAAATCCTATACCAACCCGTCTGGCCAGCGTGGTATAGTAGGCCAAAACCTCCTTTCTAAGAAGAGGCCTATGTCCAGCAGTGGACTATTAAAGGCTGTTGATGATGATGATGATACATATTATGAACCTGATATCCTATTTTATGTGTACAACATCATTTATATGCAACAAACGTGACTAAAAGCTAATTTATATTATCACATATGGCTTTTTTGAAGTTAATTAATTACCCATCAAAGATATCCAATCTAGAACAAATATCGTTATACTGCCTACACATCATTTTAAGTGGGCTATTTTCAGAGACATAATTACTTGTTACTTGAGGGTACAGTGAACAATTGTGGACTGCGCACAGATGGCGTAGGTATATTAAAATGTGTCTGTGTGATGAAGTCACAGCCCAGAGAACCATTATCAATTTTGTATTCTAACCGACCTTAGGCAATAGTACTTTTGACTGCTGCGTCAGACACCATCTACTGTTATTGAATCATTCTGTTATTGACCAGTCAGACCAGCTGGCTGGTTAAGAGTTGTGACTATAACATATTTACAAAATGTAACTTTAGCTATGGGTAAATACAATCATGTCTCTAAGTACCAAAGAATTGACAGATGTTTTTCAAACCAGGAGCGGTCATTGTCTGAAATTTTTGAGATGGTCACTTACAAAAAAAAAGTATATCTTGTAAATTAGATTATTGCACAATACATAACTTTATTATACACACATAACAAAACAAATGGAAGTATTCCATTTTTCTAACCGCGCTTGTTTTAAATACCCTCTGTAATTTGCCAATTATTTAGTTCCCTATTTATTGAAACTTCCTGTAAATATATTTTGCATAAGGCAATTTAATGCCACGACATGTTCTTCCAGTCGAACCTTTGGGTGTGCAACACTGGAGCTGTGTTTGGTAGTTTAATATTTGTCTTAAAGTTTTATATTGATGATTCCATCGGTCCTTGTGCTAACGAATGAAGAATACCGAGTGTCGCCACTTACCACCCCTATTCATCCCGTGGGTGTCGTAAGAGTCGACTAATGCACAGCACTGCAAAGAGAAGGAATACTTAGAACAAACCCTTTTTTTTTTTTTTTTTTTTTTTTTTTTAACGTGTGGAAATCCCCTCGGACCGTCACCCCTCCGGGGTTTGCGGCGGGGTGGTGTGTCGGACTCGGACCGACTAAAACCACACGGTGTGCCACTCTGCGCCTGTAACAGGAGGGATCCGGGAACAGCTGTTGTTAAGACATCCGGACCCCTCCTAGCGCCAGCCCGCTCCTGGTGCGGGCTCCGTCTCAATATATTTTCCTCTCTTTAGGCGACGTCCGGCACACGCGGACGCCGCCCCCTCGCGGCTGGCCAAACTAATGCGGGTGGAGGGGAAACCCACCCCGTCCACCCGCGGCCACACTCAGGGCGGCATGAGGCTGTGGTAGGCGGGCCTCCGCCGCCCGGTTCGCCGGCGGCGGATCGGGTCCGAGTGGAGGTCGTCCTCCCGGGCCCTCTCCGCCGCCTCCTTCCGCGAGATTACTACCTCGCAGAAGGATGCGACCGCGGTAAAACAACTGTCGCTACCGGCCATGGAGCGTACTACGGCCGGTAGCGAGAGATCCACTCCGATGACTGCAGTGAGGGCCCGGCGCTGCGCCGCCCATGCGGGGCAGACCGCCAGCGTGTGCTGGGCCGAGTCCTCACTGCAGTCGCAGTGGTGGCAGGCGGGACTCAGTTCCCTCCTAGCGACCGTGTGCAGGTACTTTCCGAAGCAACCGTGCCCGGAAAGCACCTGCGTCAGTCGGAAGGAAAGGGTCCCGTGCTGCCGCCCTGCCCACTCGGCGATGACCGGCTGGAGAGCCTCCACGGCGGCGAAGCCAGCGCGTGGAGTCTCCAGCCGGAACGACCAACGAGCCATCGTGGCTCGGCGAGCGGCTTCGCGCCACTCGCGCACATCCTCGGGCGGAGGGCGAAATCCGCTCTCCGCCCGGAAGTCAGCCACTCGCCGATAAACTTCGGCGAGCACTTCCGCCTCCAAATCCCACGGGGGAGTTCCGGCCAATGCGCATGCCACCTCCGTCGAAACGGTGCGGTAACCGCGTATGGCTCTGACCGCCATTACCCTCTGAGGGCGCCAGAGGCGTACCCTATTCTGGGCGGTCAGAGCCGCCGCCCACACCGGTGCACCGTACAGTGCCATTGACCGGACAACCCCCGTGTACAGCCGTCTTGTCGCGACGCTGGGTCCACCCATATTGGGCAAGAGTCGCCCTAGGGCAGACGCAGCGCCGACCAGCTTTGGAGCAAGCTGTCGGAAGTGCTCGTCGAAGAGCCACCTCCCGTCGAGGATCAGGCCCAGATATTTCATCTGGGCCCGAACCGGTACGAGGACCGAGTTGACCACGATGGAGGCGCCAGGGGGTGGACCACGACGGGGCCCATGGAATAACAGGGCCTCCGTCTTATCTAGGGCCACCCGTAAGCCCAGCGCCTCAATGCGCCCGACCACCAGGGAGACTCCCCCTGTGGCCAGGCGCGCCGCCTCTTGGAAGTTTGCCCCCCGGGCTGTCACGAGGGTATCGTCTGCGTAACAGATTACACCCAGCCCGGGGGGGAAATCGGCGCGAAGGGCCCAGTCGTACCCTATGTTCCACAAGAGGGGTCCAAGAACAGACCCCTGTGGAACACCGCACGACATGGGCCGACACCTCAGATTACCTTCTCGGTCCTCGTACACGACGGTACGCTCCTCTAAATAGTCTGCCACCAGCCGCCTCAGGTACTTTGGCACCCCATGATAGTGGAGTGCTTCCCTGATGCAGCTGAATGGCAGACTATTGAATGCGTTGGCGATGTCTAATGACACCGCCAACAGCACGCCGCCACAGCTCACGGCCTCTTCGGTCACGGCCCTCAGGCGCAACACGGCGTCGACTGTCGAACGCCCCGCCCGAAAACCAAATTGGGCGTCCGACAGATCGGGGCCCACCTCGCAGAGGTGCCGGACGATGCGGGCAGAAAGAACCCTCTCAAACAATTTGCCCGCCTCGTCCAGCAGCACGATGGGCCTATAGGCCGCGACCGAATCGGCAGGCCGTCCCGGCTTCGTCAGTAGGACCAGCTTCCCGCTCTTCCAGCACTCAGGGAAGCGTCCCGACGCCAAGCTAGCGTCGAACACCTCCCCGAGGCGGTCTGCCATGTGGTTGAGGGCCAGGGCCAGCACTCGGGCCGGTACCCCGTCTGGCCCAGGGGCGGTGTTCTTGGAACGGATCCGTAGAACAGCCGCCCCTACCTCCGATTCCCGGACGGGCGGAACATTGTCCTCCCCGTGCTCCCCGTCGTCTCCGGCCAGGGAGGCCATCGACGGGGGAGTGTGTTCCGCCCGTTGTGGGAAAAGGCCCTCAACCACTTCTCGCAGGAAGCTGGGCTGGAGAGTCTCCGTAAGGGGGGGGGCCCGACGCGCGGAGCTTTTGTCGCACCGCGCGGTAAGGGCGACCCCAGGGGTCACGATTAAGACCCTCCAGCATCTCCTGTCTTTTTTCCTCTTTGGCGCGGCTAATGGCCAGCTTCAGAGTTTTCCGCGCCCGTCGGTACTCCTCATG